GGCTTCAATAAAATGACTACTCAGAATAGATTGATACCACCAATACCTGCCTGTGTGTCAGTAACATGTTCAGCTACATTATTTCTGGTGATTTAAGAGCTGATGAATCTGCCAATTCATTTTTTTCTCGATGAATCATTTGGTCTATAACATGTCAGAAAACAGTAAAAAAAAAAAAAAAAAGTACACTAGTTTCCAGCCCAAGGTGACGTCCTCAGGTGACCCCTGTTACGTCTAACTGTCCCAAACCCAAAGAAATTCAGTTTACTATCATATAAGACAAATAAAAGCAGCATTGTGTATTTATTTTGCAAAGCGGAAACCAGTAAATTTTGGGTCTTCTTTTTTTTTTTTTTTTTTTTTTTTTTTTTTTCATGCAGCAAAGGTCCTTTGCCAGATTCAGACATTGTGGTTACATGGTATGTCTCTGTGACCACTAGTTCACCAGGACGCCCAATGGATGCTAGAGCCTGATGTATCATTACAAAAAGAGAAACTATAGAGAGAAACAATAGATTTTTATTGACTATTTTATGTGTCTGACTTTTCTGTCTCTGCAGGTTGGACTGATAAGTTGTAAAATAGTTCAACTACTTTAAGTGTTAATGCCGTGTGTGTGTTTAAAAAAACAAAAAGTTAGCAGTTCACCCTCAAAAACTACTGAAGCCACAACAAATAGTTCAGGTCTGTATTATTATTATTGATAACCAGGTAAAATAAAAACGTACCTAATATTATTTTTGTTCAGACGTGGCTCCGGGATGCTTTGACACTGTGCAGTGACGCCGAGGAAGGCCATTAAAATATAGCTCCCAGTTTAAACAGTGTAAATATTTCCAGACATTTGAAAATGTGTCCCATGGGTTTTGTTGAACTTTCAGCCAGCTTCAATGAAATAAACGTATTCTTCTCCTTCCTGCTGCATGTCAGGCATTAAAGCCCTTTTCAACTTGTGCTGCCACCCGGCGTTTCCTTTACCCACTCCATTCTTTCCCATACATACAACCTGAAAATGAATAATTCAACTCGACTACAAAAATTTATGTTCATTATATCAACTAATTAGGGCAGTGTTAATGCCTGCTGTGGATTTAACTTGTTTCTTTGCATAAAGGTGCACTCGTCTCCATACCTGCATTAGCAGCCATTGTTTACCTGCACCTATGTCAACCAGACAAATTCCTGTAGATTTACTGTCTCAGTGAATCGAGTTATTCTGATTTCAAGGAGACAGTCTTGTCACAAGGTTTCCTGACACTCTGCCACTTCTCAGCAAAGAGTTAAAATGGAACGGCAGATATAGGTGGTACTGTGGGTGCAACTACAAAAAAATAAAAAAGCACTGTTGGATCCTCTTTGTATTTCCCCAGGCCAGTTGGTTTTAATAAAGACCGACTGCATACTAAATCTACCTTTGCTGGTGGGAACTGTGCTCTGTGAGCCTTCAGTTTCAATCAGCAAATTGTGGAATTGGATACTAGATCATTAATAGTCTATAACAATAATGTGACCAAGTGAGTGATTGTGAACAGAACAGAAATCTCTCTCCTTGAAACATTGTCTTCTTAGTTTTTTTTTGTTTTTTTTCTCCCCCATCATCTTTTTTCTCTCTCCTGCCTCTCTCATATCTTTTAGCTCCCTCTCTCCTCTATCTCGTACTTGTGCCTTCTCTCTCTCTCCTGCATCTTCTTATTCTCTCTCTCTCTCTGCGCTCCTGGAGCGGGGGATGCCAGGGGGACAGAGTGCAGATAGGACCTGTCTCCATAGCAACAGCTTCTGCAAGCTGCTGACACCCTACTGGGGGGGCTGAGGGGAGGAGAGGTTGTGATGGGGGAATAGTACAGGGGTTGGGGCACAGGGAAGGGGTGGGTGGGTCGGGGTGTGTGTGTGTGTGTGTGTGTGTGTGTGTGTGTGTGTGTGTGTGTATATGTTCGCCAGGGCCAGGAAAAATGAGTGAGGGGGGTCACTGAGAGGAGAAAAGATGGAGAGAAAAGTGTGTGGAAGGAGAGAAGTGAGGGAGATGGATGGAGGAGGAGAGAAAGAGGCAGCAGACCCGGCTTCTTCCCCTGGGACTCAGTGGCCTGCTCATGTTCACTAGCAAATTAGCATAAAGATGGGGGGAGGTGTGTGTGTGTGTGTGTGTGTGTGTGTGTGTGTGTGTGAGATTCTTCAATTAATATGTGTGTTGGTTTCAGATAGTCAAGGGAAGGAGGACAGCGAGTGCATTTGTGTGCATGTAGGTAATTGGTAGTATGTGTTGTTGTTCAAGCAATACAGTATGTGTCACATGGATGTAGTGTGTTTGTTAGGTGTGTGTGTGTGTGTGCTGGTGGAACAGTAGGGGGGGGGTGTGTGTGTGTGTTGTGAGAGTAACTCCCTCCCCTGGGTCTTAAAGCCCCTCCCTGTTCTGGTCCTGTAGCCTGCGGTTCCCTCCCGTCTGCCTCTCTGTACTGAAGGGCTGCACTTTGTGAGCCTGTGATGCAACTCTTTGCGTGTCTCTGTGTGTGCGTATGTTTGCGTGTTCGTGTGCATGTTCATGTGTGTTTGTTCCAGCGTGCTTATGTAAGCACTCTGAACACGCGTCTCCGTCTATGTGTGTTGACAAGAATACAGTTATATCATATTTAACTCCCGGGCTGAATCATTCACCCCCTCTCCTCTATCCTAGACTCTCGTTTTATTTTTCCGTATTGTTTGACTGACGTAAAAGAGAAAAAAGAATTGGTGGTGTTGTTAGCTTTGGTAATAAGATTAGTTAGTAGTTAAGCAGTTGCAGTTGCGATCTGAGTCTTTAAATATTAGATATCTGCCTATAGAATCTGTTCAGACACTCAGATTTACCTGAATGTTGATTAAATATGTCTTTTCAACCACTTTAAAGTAGTGGTCGACAGATACGGGTTTTTCAATGGCTGATACCGATATTTAGAGAGCAGACGGCTGATGGCAGTTATATAATGCCGATATCAAAACCAAGAAGTGTCATGTGTAATTCCATAACGTAATGTGGTGTTTTTAGATGAATTTTATTTTTATTAATAATGAAATATAAAAATATATTAGCTTATGCTGTAGATTTTAGAACGCGACTGGTGTTTCAGGAAGAGTGGGGTACAGTTTGTCAGATGTGATGTTCAACTGCATTATGCTCTACAGTATAGCAACATATACGCTAGCCAGTTATGGTTTTAGATTAGATTTGCTCTCGTTTTGGATGGGAGAAATGTGAAGGGGGAGCACTGACATTGTTCTACAGCAGTTACACTGACAAGGTTGCCAGCAGATGTGTCCACAGACACTTTTAGTTTATGGGCCTTGTGAGTGCAGGCAACGGCCGAGCCCAATTATATCAAAATGCCAGATATCTGCCTGATTAATCAGCCGACCGATTAATCCCTACTTCATTTAGTACTCATTAATTTTAGAAATTGCATATACTTTAATATTGTACAGTTGAATAACCATACTATTAATTTTCTCATAGGAAATTAAAAACCTGAAGGATGGTAGTTTTTGTCATATATAATAGAAGATTTTGTTTACTTAGATTATTAGAAATTTTGACGGCAGGTTAAACAGAAGTGAAGAACAGAAGTCCCAGCTCCAAACAGACGGAAGGTTTAATAGTTAAAGTTCCTTGCTTTCAATTATCTCTAGCATCTATTACCCTTGAATAGGTAAGCTGCACTACAAACTCAACTTATTTGCTGATGACCTGTTACTGTATTTTTAAGAAATATGTCCTTTGTTTATATTTAGAATTAAAATGATGACAAGTTTAGATATGAGGATACAAAATGAGTGTAAAAATATAAACATGCCAGTTATTAAAAAAAATTTCATAGATACATTTTAAGGAGAAATCAGTAAATAAGGAGATGAAGACATGCAATAACTTTTATATTATATTGTTCTGTTTATTGTTAATATTTAATATACAAAATGCCTTGACAACACACCTTTAAAAATATATCTTTTTATAAACTAAACAAAAGTAGAAAATAAGTATCTTTAAACTAAGCTCAGCATATATATGTGTGTGTGTGTGTGTGTGTGTGTGTATATGGCCCTCCTCTAAATGAAATAATGTAGACTTTATTAACTCCCTAACTATAGTAACCCTGATGGACCATTAATAAACATTTTAATGTACAATTTTATATAATGTGGAAATGTTAGGTGTAAAAACAAAGATAACTAGTGTTTTTTTGTGTGTTTTTTTTTTCTTTTAAATAAATCACCGGAGATCTAAACACCACCTGCCTCCAAAATGACCATAGATTTTCAGTTATACATTACCATTTTGCCACAGTTCACGCAAGGTGTCACTGATGCATTGATTTGCAGACAAAGCGATCTCAGAGTTCTGTAGAAACATGACATTTGAGAGGTGATACTTCTGCGGTTCATTAGATAACCAAATAATCAAACCGACTGCAGAACTGTGGTTTTTAGGTGAGATGAACCACAATAAATATGAAATATAATCAAATGAATCATCGCATACCTTGTAGATGGATAAGTTGTGACCTGAAAGCAGTAGCACATATTGGTCAGTAAAGCACTACTCTTCAATACACAGTCGTGTGTATGATGGCATAGATCACAGGACTGCTGCAGTCCGCTATCTTTACAGCTTTGTATCTCTGGGGGGGAAAAAAAGTCCCAGAGCATAGGAATTACATTTTGGTGGGATTGCTCCTTAAAACTTATTCCTTTTGTTTCTATCAAAGTTCATACAAAGCTCTTCTCATCTCCTGTCTTCCACAGAGATGAGGGAACAGTTTAAAGGTTGTAATAGAGGATGCTTTTGGGGGGGGGGGGGGGGGGGGTTGCAGGAGTGTGCTATGATTGAAGGTGTAGACACTGCCCCCTGTAGTAATTTGGTGACCGGTGCATCATGTAAATAAATATTACTGTTGAGCAGTGGAGACGGGGACACACACACACACACACACACTCTAACACCACTTTTAATATCCAACATTTGTGTTTTTCAGAGCGCAGCGGCAGCGCCCAGCCCAGTGATGGGCAACATGCCCCCGAACGATGCCATGCCAGGTGGTCCCATGCCCCCAGGCTTCTTCCAGGTTTGTCTTCTAAATTTTGTCACCTTACTGTTCACCCCAACATCTCTCCTTCACTTTCAAAGACACTCGTCTTTTTGTACCATAACTCTGTCTCTCCCAACAAAATATCACCAAGATTTTAGGCAACATTTGCATATTCTTTAAATTCTCCAGCACTGGGAGATGATGTCTTATATCTCAAAATATAGTATATTTCTTAAATTCAGTCATGTTTTTTTAAGGCAGTTTTAAAGATGCCTGCAGCTTTTAGAATTTGCCAACTTGACTCTTCAGTTAAAACACAAACCTCACCAAAATTAAAGTAATCTTTTCTCAGTAAAAAGCTCTTTTGTCGAAAAGCTAAGGCAGAGCATTTCAGACTGGACTGACTAGAGCTGGACTGATATCAGCAAGCCAATATTATCAACCGATATTAGGGTATTAAAGATATACTGGGGTGTCTGTAGCTCAGGAGGTAGAGCGTCCTCCTGTCCACATGTCAAAGTGTCCTTGGGGAAGACACTGAACCCCAAATTGCTCCCAATGGTTGGCCAGCCTGCATGGTAGTTCACTGCCATACGGTGTATGTAAGTGGCAAATACCTTTTTGTAAGCACTTTGGACAAAAGCGCAATATAAAGGTAGCCATTTACTTTTTATATCGGTATTGGCATTTATGTTAACATGCTGAGCAGCAGCTGTAGTAATAAATGTTTTATTTGCAGCATATTTATGTATATTTGACTTCAAATCCAATTCTTTGTAAAGAAGTTCATAAGAGTTGTCTTGTGTGTTTTCATTCATATTATTATTGCTGTTATTATGACTTCTACTGTACCATCTTATATTATCTCTTTTGGCACTATCGTGTGTAAACCATCTATTTCCAAAACGACCTATTTATTTTAAAAACATTATTGTTAAACTGTAACAGTTGTTACAGTTACAAAATGTTAGTATATCAGCTGATAGATATTTGATACAATCATCAGATCTTGATCATTCTCAAGAGTCTTTTGGCTTTAAAAATCCAGTATCAGTCGGGTCTAGTAATTAGGTCCTTCACTCTAAAATCAGTACATCGAGTTGGATCAGGTGATGCCACAATTCCAACTCTCCCACTGGTTTTTTCCTTTTCTTCTCACATTTTTCCAAACATTGTTTATTCCACTCTTGACTTTTACACCCACCGGAGCCTCTGATACTCACAACGTTCATTCATCTGCAGCTCTCTCCCTCTCCGGGCTGCCGTTCGACGATTCGTGATTCAACCACCCAGTAGTCATCCTCTCTCCAGTCCTCCATCTCCATCTCTGTCTCTGACCTGTCCCGGCTCTGTGAAGGGAATGGTTTTTAGTGTGGGAGATGGCTGCCTGAAGAGTGAAGAGAATGAGACACACAAACGCACACAGATAGATATACAAGTATGCGCGGGCACACGTTCACAAACACACACACCCACTCCGTGAGGCGGCGGTGTGATGGACAGCACTGGCATTTGGCAGGAGGCACGATAAGGTGGTCGAGAAGAGTAGGAGAGAAAAGGCGAGTGACACGATAGAGAGAGGGAAGGATGGAGAGAGAGATGAAGAGGGGCGAGAGGGGAAGAGAGTGGGAAATGTGAAAGATCAGTGCCACCAGGATTGTGGCCCGGTGTTTGTTTCTGTGGCTACCTACCACTCCATTGTTTGCTTGCAGAGAACGAGGCAATGTTCTGAGAGGATGGAGGTGGTGGTGGGGGGATTAGTGAAAGTACGACTGTGAATAAGCATGGGGAAGGGGGGGGGGGGGACGCATGGAAGTGCTATTTATAACATTGGTGGGGGAGTGAGATTGGGCGAGTGTGTGTTGTGTTCAAGGGACCTTATTGTAACGGAAAGCTTTTGGTTATCTGCTGCAAATATGGTTTATCCTCATCATTAGTGCTGGGTATCATTTGAAATCTTTTCAGTACTTGTCCTACTGTGATACTGAGTTTCAGAGCTGATACCTAAACAATACCTTTTCTGATACTCTGCTTTGAGAAATATAAACATGTTGTTATGCAAAACTCTATATTTCTTTCATTTAACAGAAGAGGCCACATGTTAAAATGTTGTTGAAACACAAATAGCTGTACAGGGACTATTGGTCTAAAATTGGCTAAATTGTTATTTTAAATTTAAATCTTATCTGATAATATGTAATAAGGGATCAAATATATGCTAATTCTACATTTGTTTAATTGATAAATAATTTTGTCTATAAAATTAGGTTCACAGAGCTCAAGGTGATGTCTTCAAATGTCTCATTTTGTCTGATTCAGTTCACAATTTCAAAGGTATTCAGATTTTCACTAATTGATTAATTCATCAATTGTTTCAGCTCTAAACAAGATGACAAATTTGGGATACTCCAATTCGCTCAATCCGTATCCGGGCAGATAGTGGATCACATACGGGTCAGACATGATTGACCAACATTTAAAACTGTATCTTTGTCTATGCTGTCATCAGAAAATTCAGTTTTTCAACATCAGTTACATTAATTATTCTGTTTTTTTTAGCACCACAGCAATCCCTGGCGTCATGTTTCCTTAGATAGAAAAATATCCTCTCGGTGAGGTGTATAGCTTTTAAATTTAGGAAAAAGAGGGCAGTATTATCAGATCACTGTCTGGTAGCAGCAGAAACCTTGAGCTGAGGTATCTGAAATGGTATCTGGAGAGAAAAGGCTGATGCAGTCAATTGATCTTTATTACAAATCAGAGCAGATTAGCAACGATTAGTTGTTTAATCCGTATATCGATTGACTGAAAATTAATCTACTATTTTGATAATCGATTAATTGTTTGTCCATTTTCAAGCAAAAAAGCCAAATATGAGGATTTGCTGCTCTTCCTTGTCTATATTACAGTAAACTAAATTTTTTGAATATTTTTGAACAGTTTGATGGACAACCAAAACATTTGATGTCATTATGACATTTTGGCATTAGGAAGGATTTGTTTTGCTACTTTCTGATTTTATAGTCAACAACAACAACAACAATCGATGAACTGAGAAAGTAATCTGAAGATTAATCAATAGTTAAATTATTAAAATCATTAGTTGCAACCCTAGACCAGATATTCAATTCCAGTGTGCTGTAATTGACGGCTTTCATTGTTTCCAAACATTCGATATCCAGCCCTGCTCATATTGTAGTGTCCATACATTTGTGATTGGATTTCTCAATATTATGGTGCGGATTCTTGGAGTTTGCTGATTATTTTGTACAGTGGTTTGTACTTGTACCTGTAATGGCACAAAACAGGTGTTATTTATTGAAGTCTTTTGAGACAAACTGACAAATGTGGTTAGTGGATGTAGCTTCACCTCCAGAACCAGATACGTGCTTGTTCTGGCTAACTGTAGGTTTATATAGACAACCTGTGTCTCGGTGCCTAAGAGGGATACGCGGAGAAAGAGACATAGTTGCATAATGAGTTATTTATTAGGGGTCGTTAACCTCTTGTCTTGGGGTGAAATGTCGGCAGTAACACAGCGGTGTGTCAGAGAAGCTTGGGGGGGGTTACTCTCCTTGTGGACATGGATACACTGTCATACTGAAGCAGGCTTAAAATAAGGAGGAAAAACTCCCAACTTTAAGCTTGCTTTCTCTGTATCATCATTTGTGGTTTGAAGTTGCCACTAGTGCCTGTCCTGCTGCTGCCTGTCCTGCTTCTGTGAGCCTTTGACAACACTGCCCCTGTGTGTTTGAGAGGAAAACTACATGTGGTCCTCTGACCTGAGGGTCGCAAGGATCATCTCTGTCACATATGTTAAGGCCAACCAAATAATTATGCTTAATGCTAATTTCTGTTTGCGTGTTTGGACTCGAGGGCAAATGAAAATTGTGTTTGGCTTTTAATTCTGTGTTGGTTTTTTTTGTTAAGGAGTACATGATCTAACTGCAGATTTGAAAGAATTTGCCCAAAATGTCCAGCTTTATCAATCATCTTCTTCCACCTTAACCTAAAGACTCCCAGCTGACCCCCATCCCTCTCGTTTTCCCTTTCTGATGATTTTGATCGGGCAACTCCTCCAGGTTTTAACCCCCCCACCCCACCCCACCCTTTGGCCCCTCCCCTCTCTGATATCGCTCTTCTTTCTTAAAGGGACCACCTGGCTCTCAGCAGTCCCCCCACGCACAGCCCCCCCCACACAACCCCAGCAACCCCATGATGGGACCCCATGGCCAGGTAAGATGCAAACACTTTCTTTCAAACACCCCCTCTCTCTTTCATTCCCTCTAAAACCCCCTCCCCTCGCCCACACACAGAAGCTCTTTTCCTTTCCATTCACTACTCGCACACTTTCTCCTTCTCCTTTTTCTTCTCCTCCTCCTACCCTCGAGCCCCGTTAGACCTAGTTCTGGCTAACTCCTCGTAGATGTCAGCCCCTCCAGTTGCCAGCTCCTTTATGAAAGCCAAGCATCCAGAGGAAGCAGGGCCCGATCCTCACCAAGGCCTAGAATCGTCTGTCCCCCATGCGGGATGAATAATTCACTCCTTGCCCCGCCCCCGGAGCAGCTTGTGGGGGGTTGCACACACTTATCTGCTCCTCCACTCTTTACACACTTGCACACTCCCCTCCGCTCTGCTTACTTGCTCTTGCACCTTATAAATAAAACAGGGGACAGGCACTATGGGCACGTCAAATATACGTATAAAAATACATGGGCATTCATATGTATGCCCACTTTACGCACATATAGAACATTCAGAGTTTCGAGTTACTCAATAGACTCACTAGATAAGAGCGTATTCAACACATTCAGCCTTTTAAAAAAAAAAATTAAAAAAATAAAAAAACTTTCTCAGTGTGTTTCAACATTTATCCAGAACAGAAGCTACAGATGACACTGTGGAGGTAAAGCTAGCCTTTGCCCATTAACTGCAGCAGCCTGGCTCTTCATTCTTGTGGTTTCTGGATTCTGTCTTGTGTGCGAAAGATTGTGGACATGCTTCCGCTTAGGTTTTGGACGGTGTTGTTGGCCCGAGGTGTCTCTAACTACGCCAGGCAGACCACAGGCCGAATCAGCTTACACCACAGCGAGGGCAGGCAGGGTGTGCAGGGAGCTGTGTCAGCGCTGTCTTTATACATGTTAACCTGCGCGCACACACACACACACACACCCAAATCCATGCTTTGAGTGTGTTAAAATTCATTCTTGCTTATGTGTATTTTTTTTCCAGACAGAAGAATTTGCGATCTTTCAATGTCATCCTTCATTCTTTGTCCATCTGTGTGTCCTCAGTGCTTCCCCTGTTTGAGTGCTCTTGGATTTATCAATAATGAAAATGTCGTTTTCTCTGTGTCCCTCTTTTCCACACATTTCCCACCCTTAATCCCCCCTCCCCTTTACCCTCTTTCCTCCATTTCGCTTTGCAGCCTTTCATGTCACCACGGTATCCAGGTGGACCGCGCCCCACACTCCGAATGCCAAATCAGGTACTTGAGCAGGGTTTTTTTTTGGGTGGGGGTTATTCCATACTGACTTTTTTTTGTTGATTTTTGACAAGTCAGAGTATTTGTGTTTGCCAAGAGAATGTCAGTATTTTAATCAGTCTCCATGTCTGGTCTCTTCTCAGCCTCCGGGAGGAATTCCTGGATCCCAGCCTCTCCTGCCAAATAGTTTGGACCCGACAAGACCGCAAGGTAAGGCCAGGAGAGCTCTGGTAGTGGAAATTGATGGTGGGGTTCCTTGTAATGAAATATGTTAATTTTGTATAGCAGAAGAGGTGTCCATGATAGATGATGACCGGGCTGTAACTAATGATTATTTACATATATTGATGAATCTATCCGGATAACTCATTGAAAACTCATATGTGGATCCTAAATTTAAAAGAATTCAGTTAATCCAACTACCTATTTTCTGCTGCTTATCCAGGTCCTGGTTGTGTGTAATGATTAATTATATTATTAGGAATTATTGTTGAATGTTATTGTTGAAAAGTACTGACAATAATGAGATATAAATATTGATAGATTCACGCACCTAAGTAATTATTGTTCCCACTGTTTTTTGGGGTTTATTTGAATAGTTTTTCATATTTTCACCGGTTTAACTGGAAAACAGCGCTGAAATTGTATTCTATGTTGTATTTAAAGTTTAAATTGCTGAACCCTGCACTAGGGATAAAGAAAAGCTGCAAATCCTCATATTGGAGGCACTGGAAGAACCTACACATTTTTGTTTGACAGATTGCGTAAAACTAATAATCAGTTATTACATTTTTCTTACAATAATATAAATTGATAAATCAATTAATAAACAAGTAATTTCAGGACTTGACTCCACCCAAAAAATCTTTTATTTGTTATCCATTTGGATTTTTGCACAAATTCCGTGTCCGTGGTTGTTTCTTTTCCTGTGTGCATGTTTAGCTCAGGGAGGGGTCCTTGGTGATTTTAGCCACAGATTACAGCTTCAGGGGCCCAGAGGGTTACAACTAATGAGATTAGGATGAAGCATTGTCTGTGTCTTAATTCCTGACTTTAACATAGGAGCCAAATGTGGATTTAAATGAGCACTATAGTGTGTAGTGTGCCGTGGTCAGTGTGTGACTGTGGGTCTGTTCTTGTAGGACATCCTAACATGGGTGGACCTATGAGAATGAACCCTCCTCGAGGAATGGCCATGGGCCCACAGGTATGATGAACCTAAAATCACAAAGACACATGCTCACACTTATTTATTGTTGATTGTCAATTAGAATCTTGTGAAGATTAAGATTAAATGCAGCTTTCCAAGTATCAGCAGTGAGTATAATATTTGAGTCGGTTAGTAAGTAAAATACCTAAATATTGATATATTTATGTATTTTCTGTAATTGTACTTTCGTCAGCACCCTTTGTTTGAGGACGTCACAGCTTCTCTTAGTCCAGTGATGTATGTGTCAGGGTGTCCGCGGGGTCTTAAAAAGTCTTAAAAGGTAATAAATCAATTTTGCGAAAATTAAGGCCATTAAAAAGTCTTGATCGCTATTTAACAGGGCATTACATTTGTAGATATTTTTGTCCAAAGAGTTTGTATGGTAAAAGTGTGGGTGAACGTATTTATTTATATTGCATCGCCAAAATTAATAGACCGGCAGAACGTAGCGAGTTGTTATTCTGTGTAACGTTAGGCGCAGGGATCTAGGATCTACCGTGCGAGCCTTTCACTCTCATACGCCCCTAGAAATAGATCCGTGCGAACCAGAAAACTGATTTACGAGCACAACCAACCGTAACCTTCCACCAATGCCGGATCCCCAATTATAATTGTTCAAAATATGGTTGGACTGAGCTCTGTGGCCGCTCGAACAGCCCCGTTACTCAAAAACAAGGGCAAGATGCTGATCCTCTGTCAGCAGGTGAAGCGGTAAGACAGAAGACAATAGGGAAAATATAAGCAGCATATTGGTTTGGCTAACATTAGCTGGCTATTTAGCTACATCTGTGCCTTTTTATTGAAACATCAACTTTTCATAAAGCCGATGCGCTCGTCATCGTCACTTTTCGTGAACAGATTAATCACAGCCTGGACAGAGCGGGATTAAAAAAAAAACTTTCCATATGTTGAACTAATCCTTCTGCCTAAATAGTTAGATTATTGGCGAGTTAGTAGCCTACTTAAAATTAATTAACTGTAGAATATTTTTCTTTCACAAAGTTAATGAATAAAAAACAACCCTAAAATGAAACAGCTGTAACTGGAATTAATATTATAATAGTGGTAAGCTATATACTAAACTATTATAGAATATAGATTATAATTATAATGAATATAGTAACAACATATAATTAACATTAATATAAAAGCCAGGATGCCATTGTGCCAATATGTGCTGCTTCTAGCCTCCTCCTCCTCCTGAGAGCAACACGTTCCCCTTGTTCTATTTTACATCTGTTTTACTAAAGTTTACATAAATCAGCTTTAGGATGCAGACAGCAGCTGTTGATTGCAAATGTCTGTGCTACACTGCCTACACTACCAATGTTATCCATCACTCAGTTTATTCTCTTCACCTTTGTTCCCTGCTGGCCTATTTGAATTATGATGTATTGATACAATGGTCGATGAAAGCTATCACAAAAAGAGTGTTTAGTTTTACAGTCTCAAAATCTATTTATAGCAAATGTAAGTTTAAAGGTGGGCTGTGTGGTTTTTAGTTGCTTCTAGCAGTAAGGTTTCAGATTGCAACCAACAGCATACGCTTTACATATTTGTGACTGAAAATAAGTTACAACTATGTCAGGTAGTCATCAACTGGTCGGCGTTTGCAGGAAAGTTAACATTATCTAGTTTGAACCAACTAAAACACAAAATCACACTGTTTCACATGTTTTGCAGTAATGTTGCGCACATAAACATCACAGCCTGTGTAAGACGATGGATTTTCGCAGGAAATCCGATGAGGCCTTCACATAGAAAACAGTAGGCCTAAACAGGCTGTTGAAAGCAACTGAGAAAGTTGGTGAATGCCTCAATTTTTAGGCGAGGTTACAACCTGGTCACGTATAGGTAATAAAATGCTATAAATATGTTTAAATTCCTTTTAAAAACTCCACAATTCCCCTTTTAAAGGTGTGAGGCTGAATTAACCGGTTACAGCTCAAAGTTGCGCGGCAGTCTTAAATTACGTTGAAAAGGTCTTGAAAAAGGTCTTAAAAGGTATTGAATTTCACTTCTGGATTCCTGTGTATATACCCCGATGTGTGATATTTGTGAATTTATCTATAGGAAAATGCCGCACAAAAGGCCAGATCCAAAACAGTTTAAAGAATTAGAATCATCAAAATCAAGTCTGCTGTTGAAAATCAATAATAACTTCTCGTTAAATGTTCTAACAATGTTATTGACATTTGATCTTCCAGAATTATGGAGGTATGAGGCCTCCTCCCAACTCCATGGGCGGTCCCATGCCAGGAATGAACATGTAAGTTAAAACATCTCATACATCTGGTGAAATATGACTCTTTATCAGCGTCTTAGTGCAGGTTAATTTCTGCTTTTGCTGTATCAAGTAAATTTATTTATTTTTTCTCGCCTCAGGGGTCCCGGAGGAAGAGGGCCTTGGCCAGGACCTAATGCCAACTCTGTGAGTCAAAAACCCTTTACCCTAACACATGACCACACATCATAGGTGGTGCGCAAAGAAAGAAGAAACAGCCCTCAGTGCCACGCAATCATTGCAACATACAAATGTTGTGCTTATGAAGTTTGGCTTTGGTTCAGCAGCTCAGAGAGGTGTTGATTTTGCTCTGTTGGCATTTTGGAAGCTGTAAATTGTAGTGTTGTTACACACACATCAAGGTACTGGTCCGTTGGACAGTTTTGTCTTAAGGATGCTTTTGACCACTGATCCTCTTTTCCTTCGCTTCCTTGAAGGACATTTAAAGGGATAATATTTTGTCAACAGTACAAACTATGGCCGATGTAAAATTTAGTATAGATTATAAACACCACCTCCTGCAGTCTGAACATTTACAAACTATTATAGATTTTATTGGATTGTAAAGTGTTCCTCTTATTTTGTCCATCTTTATATAGATTAACATTCACTATCCTGGCCCTGAGATCTGATTATCTGTTACCTCTTTCCCCCTGCAGATAGCCTACTCCTCCTCATCTCCAGGAAACTACGTGGTGAGTTCAAATCTATCGAAACCAGAGCAGCTCTCCTGGAAACAGCATTTATTGTCCCGATGGCGTCATTTTCTGATGAGCATAATTTTAACCTCTATCATCGATTGTTCCCCCAGGGTCCTCCAGGCGGAGGAGGTCCACCTGGAACTCCCATCATGCCCAGCCCAGGTGGTGCGTCACCTAACTAGCACTAACACTTGTGTCAGAAATAGACGTCTCTCCCATCTTTCCTCACTAAACAAGCATGCGTGTGTCCCCTCACCAACCCAAGCACTATTAGTGTTCTCATATGTCATGTCTTTTTTTATTTTTATTTCAATATTTAACTTATTGTTTGATCAAAATCTTTATTAATGATTTAATTATGTTTGACATCATCTCTTTCATAGAATGTAACTAAAATTTGTGTTTTGTTTTTTTCCTTAGATTCAACTAACTCCAGTGAAAACATCTATACAATGATGAATCCTATCGGACCAGGAGGCAACAGACCTAATGTGAGTCTCACACATGATTTAAGTTCACTAAGTTATTTAACCAAAAGCTCTGTAAACGGTTTCACTATCCAGGCGTTTAACAGTTTCAGACACTGCAGATTGATTCTGGATTAAAAGTATGGATGTTGTTTTGCAAAAACAATTAAAATGACACAACCCTGCTCACATAAATGAATCCAGCTCAAATAGGATCTATAACCACACAGCAGTACAGTTCAGCATTCAAAAAACATAATGCAGCTCAATAAGAATCCACTGGAAATGAATCAGGAAGAATAAATTATATAATCTCTACCTCACCCCAACTTGAATAGACCACCATTATATAAAAGAGTTCAAACATTAAAAATTAACTTGTTCTTCATATTTTTGCTAGTTCCCTATGGGACCTGGGCCTGACGGGCCAATGGGAGCCATGGGAGCCATGGAGCCACACCACATGAACGGCTCACTAGGTGGGTTTAAACACAGTGTGGTTTTCAAATCACTGCTGGACTTTAGCTGATGCATGTTCAACTAAGACATGTGCTTTATTTTGGATTAAGTTTACCTTAAAAAATCAATTTCTCTCCTTTCCCTTCCTCAGGCTCTGGGGATATGGATGGGTTGCCAAAGGTGAGTTAAAATCAGATTTTCAATAAACCTAACTTGTCCGCTGAGTGTAAAGGAAAACATTTACTTAGAAACATTAATGGTGCTGATTGTGAGGAAAAAATCTCTATTTCTTTTCTTTTTTTGACCTCTGTTCCTCCAGAGCTCCCCTAATAACATGGGGGGCATGAACAACCCTCCTGGAACGCCGAGAGATGACGGCGAAATGGGCGGGAACTTCTTGAACCCATTCCAAAGCGAAAGTGTAAGTACAGGGAGTGAATGACATCTCACGACCCTTAACAGTTACCCCTGACGCCCTGACATAAACCAGTGGAAGAATGCAAGCAGAGGGTTCGCCAAAATAATTTTTTGTATTGATCTCAGACTATTGATAATGTTCTGGTACATTTTGTGTCTTGTCCCTACTTTTGTTATTTTATTTTTGTTTTAGCTTCATTGGCTAGTCTAAAACTGAGCAGAGTGGTAGCAGTGTTACATTTGAACTGACACTTCCTTTTTGGAGGACCTACTTTATTTTTCAGTAATTAAAGACATGATTTGAAAAAAACCTCCACAAACCCAACCCAGTAAATTTTCAAAAAGGAGTGGCTGAGGACAATCAGACCCCGTCCAAATAGACTAGATGCGCCACTGTGTTTCAGAAGAGGCTCTCTGCTCTGCGCTGCAGAGAATACGCAGCCATTCTATTTTGACAGAAATACAGACAACAAAAGAAACAGTTTAACTCTGTAGCTCACTCACACATAGTAGAATGCCAAATCATCAAAATCTGAGCATGTCAGCAAAATTGGGCAGGCAAAAACACCGCTTCTGAAATGCTTCTGGTGGGGTATGAATCCCTATAGAACAGAACAAAACTTGGGTCGCAGACGCAACGTCACAGAGCGGTGCCTGATGGAATCCAGTGGTAACACGAACAAAAGCACGATGCTCCAGCAATTAAGGACTAGATACAGTCAAAAAGAACAGCAATATATACCGTATTTCCTGCAGCTCACACTCTCCATCGTATAACATAAAACACATATTTTATTACTGTGAAGATTATGACGTGCCACATGACCAGAGCTGATTGCAAGTCTGCTCAGGTCCACTCAGGTATTCCACATGCTGGCAACACATTAGGGCCCAAATAGAGAGAATATAATTTCGACCAGATTTAACTTGTTTTTCGGGTCATATCTCTGTTTCAAGAAACCAAGCAGACCTGTGAAGAGCTCTAGTTCTAAGTGCAGCACTCTTGCTTAAAAACTGTTTTTATACTTGTAACTTGGGACACAGCACTGTAAATTTGAAATGCAAAACATGCTGAGTTGTTCCTGAAGTGCACAACCGCGTGCTCATTACACAAAATAATAATAAAAACAGGGCTGTAAAGAATATCTGATGTTCTGCTTGCATTGTAGCCGCTTACTAATCACGTAGAAATTCATTGTATACCCTCTGTAAAAGTGTTTGGCTGATAGGCACAAAATCCTAACCTGTTTCATTTATTTGTTGTATCTAAGGACAAATACAAGCAAAATGTTTCTGCTAAAGTGACAATATGAGTCTAGGTTTCTGTTGGGTGCAGGCTGGTACTTGTTCTTGCTTTGTGTAAGATTGTGACGGTCTCCTACCCTCTGCCTGGAGAGCTACGGGGTGCACAGGCTGGAATTTATAGTCGAGCTCTAATACCTTGATTTAGCCAATCAGCAGGCTGGGAATCATTAGAAGTTTAGACCAAACACCCAAGTCATACTTTTCAATTTCTTACTTAAAGGAACGTTCTACATGGTTGATAATGCATTCAGGTTTTTAAATGTTGACTAAATACAAACAAGATCTTTGCCTAATGAAAACAGTCTAAATCTGGCAATTTAAATGTAAATATCTGGTTAAAAAAATAAGTAAATAAGGTTATGAATCTATATATCTCTATATCCATAGATGGATACAGATAGCCTTGCTGGATCCAACATCGGTGCCTCTAGCTTTGCAGGGCTGGGTTTGAGCGCCCTCTGGTGTTTGAATGTTGTCAGTGACATAGCCACTCATCTGTACCCTCCTCCCCCTTCCCTCTCTCTCTTTTCAGTATTCACCCAACATGACGATGAGTGTGTGATTTTATTTTTTCCTTTTTTTTGATAATTTACCCCCCTATTTTTTACCCCTCACCTGAATTTTATTTTATTTTTTTCTTCTTCAATTCAATCCTTACGTCACTTTGGATTGGACCACCTCCCCTCCTCTCTCACACACACACATACCCACTGTCCCCCACCCCTCCACACGGGACCCCCCTTTTCCTTTTCTCACTCGGGAACTCTATGGCCACACAGCCTTCTGGGACAGCCCTTGAGCATGCTGGGACTCTAATTAAGACGGGCCCTCCTGGAGCATGCAAGATGGCCGTCGGTCTGAATAGGAAGCAGTCACAGAGCAACAGGAAGAGCCTCCTCTCTGACTCCGGCCCTGGCCTCCCTGGCTTCCTGTCAGGTTCTAGACAATGAGCGAGGGAAGGAGGACAAACAGAGAGAAAGAGGGAGAGGAGACTGGATAACACAGCCCTCCCCTGAGGACGCAGTGTCTGGTCTTTTAGCAGCTGCCTGGAAGCTTTTCAGCCACGACTTTGGACTTTAAAAAAGATTTTAAAAAAGATTTTTTTTTTTTTTTGTTCCTCTAAACGGATTCAATTGAGGATTGGATGAAACGACCTCCTTTTGCCCCCCCCCCCCCCACATTGTTCTCTCTGTGTACATTTTTAACAGAGGCGTTGTGTGAACTTTTTTCCCCCTTTTTTTTTTTTTTAAATGTATGTATTGTATCATTGCTATTTTTATTATTGTGTTATTGTTATTAATGATATTGTTATGATCATTTTAAGATTAGGGTCAAATTTCTGTTGTTTCTGAGGGCACATTATTATAATGAAGACAACATATGTGCACACAAATCCAAAATTATTTGCTGTGTAAAATGTTGCTCCCTGTGAGCACACTGCCCCCTGCAGGTAAGATTTTATCCATCACGGTACTGATTGGCCCTTTGCTTTGTTTTTTTATCTTAAGAGTTTTTGCAACCATAAAAAAAAAAATTGTATTTCTTGTTCAATAATCCAAACCAGAAGCGTCTCCTGTTTTTAGTAGCTTCAATGCAGTGAAATGCACAGCTCTATTTATTAATGTACTTTAAATTTGTTTTATGAATCGTTGTTACTTTTTGTTATCCCTGGTTTTATTTTTAATTTTAATTAACTGCAGAACTAGTAGCAACTGTGTAAATATGCAGATCCAGTCAGCAGCAGCGTCTCCGTCTGACATCATTAGACACCTCTATCCGAGCCCTAAAGGTGCTGACGTTTTCAAAAGTGTCGACCATTTTGACCCCACTTATGCTGCTTCCACTAATGCTGCCCATTTAGGTTACTGTTCACTCCAACGTGTACGTAGGCTGCGTTATCATCCCTGCTGACCTGTAGTGAACACTTGGACTGTTTTTTGTTTTATTTTGCTGAGAAGTCCTCAACACACTGTGATGTATGTCTGTGCTTAATGGAAATTTTGCTTTTACACACCAGTCAGTTTAGCTCGCAGACATTTTGTTGTCATACATGCAGCGCTCCCTCTTTAGGTCACTTCTAGTGAAAGGACTTCTGGCTCTCTGCTGATCATTTTTATGTTGGAGCAATGCAGGCCAGGAAGCGGCACAGCGTTGCTCTGTTGACTGTAACAAGTGGCCTCCCTCCCTTTGCTCATCTTGAAGAAAAAGACCCCCGTCCTTTTTCCCCTTGTCTCAACTTTGCAGCGGGCCAGCATAGACACACAGTCGCACACCATCCCTATAACTGTTTTTTTTTTTTTTTTTTTTTGTACAACTCTCCATCTTTTAAGTTACATTTTTTGTAAATACTGTAAAATGCATTTTGATATCATTGACATGTTTTGATATTTTCAAATCACAACAATAGTTGATCAGAGACGTGCTGATTTGGGGCGACGGTGTGTCTTTTACTCAGAAATGGTATGAATGATGAGAAACAGAAACTGGAGCTGCTATAGACTATTATGCTATTTCTTCTCATCACAGACAAACGTGGGGCTGTACTGTGCATCAGAGCTGTACCGTCAAGGGGTCTGAGAAGATGAGGGAGGAGCTTTTTGAAGTGTGTTTGAACGCCTTTAGCTAACTCACTGTCATACACATTTCCTTGAGAGAAAAAAACGTAAACTTAAAATTACACATTTATTGTCCTCTGCCTCTGTTCTTGAAAAATTTTGAGTGAGCTGGCCAAAAAGCCACAAGAAAAAAAGCATATTTTTCACAGTTTCTGACAGGGAATTTGCAAGAACGAGGACATTTTTTCATAATAAGAACCTGCATTTCAGCTTCTACCCTCTTGACACAACTCAACCCGAAAGCAGGGCACGCAGGACACTGTCGCTCAATCCAACATGCCAGGGACCAGAGTACAAACTTTACTATGAAGGATTTTTTTTAATCTATTTAAAAATGGGGCAGGAGAAGTGTTTTGGGAAAGTAAAGAGGGGGGGGGGGAATAACGGAGAGACTTCTTATTGCTAAGAGGTAGAGAGAGTGCAGGAACAGGTGTTTCCTCCCCTGTACGTACTTTGAAATACTGTTGTATAAAATGCAGTTGAACTTCTCTCTATCTTTGTCCTGTAAGTAAAGCCGTCACAACGTTGATCATTTCTGTATTTCTATTGTGCTGATGTATAATACTGTAACATTCAGGGGTGAGGGAGGGTTAAGAGAGGAATTTTTTTTTGAGGGGAGTAAAGATTTTTCTGTTAAGTTCCTCATTTTTCCTCTTGATGACAAAGCAGTATTGAATATGAGGCAGTCTGTCCTTGGGGAGTTGCTTTGTATCTCATGTTAGGGTAGTTTCAGATCCTAAATGTCTCGTGTAGTAAAATAAGAGGTTCCTTCTTCGTATGTTTCTTTATATTGTAAAGTTTCTTTAGACAAAAAAAATGTTGCTTATTGGGGGGAAAAAAGGTGGGAAAACTGCATTGATAATAAATGTAATTCTTTTGGGCTTTTGTTTTAATTTTCATCAATTTGTCAGTCGTTTTTGCCTGTGTCCCCCTTGTTGTAGATACATATTAAAAACAAATAAAATGACTACACTCCTTTTGCCATGAACATGCACTTCTTTTGCTGGATTCATATGGTTAGGATTTGCCCCCATAAAATGTCCAGTTGTCCAGATTTTCTGTGGTCTTTGTGACAGACGATCGTCAAACATCATAATCTAAGCTCTCAGCTTATTGGGATATGAACGCTGGGAGGATGGGTCTGCAGGCGTAGCTTGGCTGTAGAGAGTCACAATTCATTATGGTTGGGAGCCAGCCATGGGTTAAAATATGAAAAAGAGAAATGCCATGGCACTGAAATATAAAGCAGAACCTCTTGACAAACACCCCCGTCTGTTCGTGCACAAGCACAAAATAGACATGGCTAAAATAAAATGCTTACTATTGTTGAGTCCTTTTGAATACATGCCTGATTAGGGAAGCAGCTAACAATAATTTTCATTCTCACTTAATCCACAGGTTATTTTTATGACTAATTGAATAATCAAATATCAGAAAATGGCAAAATAAAATGCTGAGTTAACGTGGTGTAAACAGACTAAAACCAAAGATATTCAGATTTTCTATCGATTTATTTTTCTCAACACAAATGTTTTGATTAATTCTCTGTAGATCATCTGACCGATCGCCTGATCTGTTCAGCTCTATTTATGATCCTGGTCTCATCTGTAACGTCAGAATTTGTCTAAGTAATATTGACCCAAATTCACAGCGGCAAAAACACAGCAAAACACTTTTGAATCTCATTTTATTCTTTATATTTTACCGGTTTGCTTTGCATTTTGCAGTGATAGAGGGATTTTAAAATTATTTACGCAGTGTGAGGAGTGAGGATTCATCTCAATGTTATCCCGACTCCTGCCTCATATTCAGGCTGCTGCTTGAACTTCTTTCTTGTGTCAGAGAACCACATTATGGAGGGATGAAGGTGCTCAGTCTCACATGCCTAAATGGTTTCTCCTCCTCTGATCTGTTCAAACTGTACTGAATGGCGACGCAGTGACCTCCTGTTCCTCTCACTGCAGCAGGAGGCAGGGGGAGCAACTAGGGAGGTGAGGGAGGAGGTGGGCGGCAGCGGAGGGAGTAATCCTGGTCTTGCGGGTGCTCTGGAGGAAGAGGAAGGTGGACGAGAACTGGGTGGGTGAGGCAGAAACCCCATGCTCCTGCTTTTGGAAGGTGAAAGCTGGGTTGGAACCTGGAGGTGAGAGTCTGATTGATTGACTAAGGGAGGGAGGTGAAGCAGAGGAGGAACCACCATGACAGAGGGGAGGGTGTTCCTGCGGAGTTGGGAGTAAGGAGACAGACGGACAGGAAGCTGGTCACTTTTTTGAGTAATTTTGTCCCATGTTGAAGATACGGGCGTCAAACACCTCTTGGGGATCGTGCTTCTCACTGAGATCATCTCTGTGAGGGAGAGGACAGACTGAGAAACCCTCGGAAGGACATCTCCGTGGAAGCTGTTGTAATATTTTCCTCCATATCTGTTATCCCTCCTTTGAGCCACACTGTCCGACCCCTCTTCCATCTCAGACTGGTGAAAATTTGGCTTCTCATCTTCACCTTCCTCATCTTCCCTCCCTCCTCTCCCCACTCTTGAATCCTTTCTGTTTCCCCTCTCCCTCACTCCCTCCTCGTAAGCCCGGTTCAGACAGGCCAGGTTGTGAATGGCTAGCCACGGCTCAGATAACATTCTCTGCCTGGGCGGTGGACTGCTACACTGGCTCAACGGACTCAGCTCACAGGAGGGATGTCTGCTGCTGCTGCTGCTACTTCCTCTTTTGCCTGATGGAAGTCAATAAGACACAGACAATAAGTGAAAATTACACATATGGAAGTGGTTGAGAAGAACTTTTTCTGTCACTCTCCCTGTGGTTACCTCCGTCTTTTCCCTGGTAGAAGTTTTTTTCCCCTTCAAACCGAGGGTCAAAGGACACAGGGGTCATATGCCATACAGTAATAGTAAAGCTGTTTGAGCCAAATCTGTGAGCCCTATAATTAAAAAGGATTTGATGCTACGTACTAAGTTCACGCCTTAAAAATTCATTATTAGGCTGCAATAAAAGCCCCTAATTTGTAAGAGTGCTGTTGATGTGGGCAATGCACAAATGAAATGGAGGAGCTGCTCACAGCTTTAAAATAATTATGATTAATTGTAATGTTGAATCATCTATAGGGAACACCTCGAATAACAACAAATTTGGTCTCTTTGTAGTGTTATTTTAAAGTCGCTAACTAGTTCACTAACCTTACATTTACACCCTTTAATATACTTGGTTAAGCAAACATGTTTTAATGTGGTATATAAAGGCAAAATCAAAAGTATTTATAAAAGGCTACAAATACAAAGGGTTAATCTGCAATTCAACATCAACACCACTTACTAGTTCCTCTGAAGTTGAAAACGTTTTCTCCCTCAGGAGAGTTCGGTGAACCCGTCTTGAGGACAATGTCGGACGGGGACATGCAGGTCACTGGTGAGGTGTCAGGAGATGGAGGAACATTCAGATAACGCCTGGTCACTGGACCTCCATTCACGCCCATCTCCGTGGAGATGATGATGATGTCACGACCCCTGGCCCGGCAGGCATCCATCAACACCTGAAGTACACAGTGCTGGTGAGGTATTGATTGGATTTGACCAATTTGGGGCTTTGATGGTGTCCGATACTGAAGTTTATAGGAGTGATATTCAGTGCCTACACATTTTCATAATGATCATTTTAAAAGATTCAATGTTTCCTCCATCTCTGTATTGAGGAAAAGCTTTTAAAACATCACAAGGCAGTAAGTCTTAACTCTGAAAGCCATAGTTTTAAGAAATTGAGGTACTTTAGTTGAGTATTTCCATTTTATGCTACTTTATATTTTTCTCCAATACATTTCAGAGGGAGATATTGTACTTTTTCTTTTTACATACAAAACCTATGATCAATTTATAAACTATGATGATTGTTATAGATTAAAGTACCCAAACGTATATAAATTAGTTATCATAAGCTCCTTAACGTGCCCCAACATTACAGCACTCCTAACACACTGATGATGATCCTTATAATCCTTACATATATGTTCTACACTAAAGCACTAGCTTGTAGTAGAGTATTTTTACCTTAAGTAAAGGACCTGACGACTAAGCCCCTTGTTCACCACTGCTAAATAGAGACTGATAACCACCTTATATCACCTCCCTTCTTCCTTTTTCTCTCCATCTCCTCCATCCATCAAATGTATTCTCCATTCTTTTACACTCCTAACTGACCTTCAGTGTCGGCTGGTGCTGTGCATTGATGGCATAAACCAGTGCTGAGGCTCCAGAGTAGTCCTCCATGCAGGGTTCGGCTCCTGCAGCCACCAGGGTGGATGCCACCTGAGCTCCTGCCCGCTCCATACAGGCGTACATAAGGGCAGTGCGTCCAGCCCGGTCCTGTGCATTTGGGTCTGCCTGATCGGTACAGAGGAGGACAACTGATAGAAGCCTTATGGCCCAGTGTGAATTAGTTGTCAGTCTTAGAGCTCACTTGTGTGTTTAGATACATACTTTTGCTGGTTAAAGTTACAATAGTGTGTTCCGTCTCTCAGGGGAGAATACACTTTAAGAGACTAATGCACAGTCCTCCATGCAATCGATAATTATCTTGCCTCAGAGAAGAGTGTGTCGTGTTCCACAACACCAAAATGTTACACTTTGGTAGGTGGACAGAGGACACAAGCAGAGCCGGAAACATCAGAAACCTTTTTACTATGCATTAAAAGTGCTGTATACATCCCTTACTGCAGGTACACATTTATTATGCATTAGAAATTCATCTAAATCAATATACTGTTGAGCTTTAGTCTGTGAAAACTTGCATTTGCATTTAAGCACACTAAGTTGAAATGGGAAATATTACTCACTACAGACGGACCTTGTTCTGGAGCAGATATGTGAGGAGTTTCACCGTCTCGGGCCCAGTTGGCTCCCCTCTCAGGGCCTTACAGGCAGCCAGGAGAGCGGTCTCTCCTCCCGGGTTGTGCCCATTGACCTGAGCCCCGCCTTCCACCAGCAGGCGGACCAGGCGAAGCTTACCCATGGATGCTGCGCTGATGAGAGGGCTGCAGTCTGACAAGGGGTCCCCCATGGACTGGAGGGAAATGGAAAGTCAAACTATACCTTTATTTATAAACAATTGCTATGTTACAATTTTCTAACAGCCTGCCCTGGACATTTTACCATCATTTATGACCAATTTCACTTTTGAGATTATTGCTCATAAAGCCAAATTTTCCCTCAAGGGCAAAACAATCCACAACCAAAATACATTATATGAAAGCATATATATAAGTCTAACTAGTCCTTATCTGTCTGTTTTCTTTGATAAAATGTTGCTTAGAAAATAAGACAAAACTGGACACATAATTTATTGTGAGTCAGTATAGATTCAAGTTATTTTTAATTAAATCCAAAAAATTAAAGGCTGCTTATGTTATTACACATGCTTAAAAAATGGATCATCTATGGATGGACACACAACAACACTACACATAGTAAACATTAAACTCACCTTGACATTCCCTCTGGAGTGCATATTTACCTATTCCTCTTTTACAAATAAGAAGGCAGCCATCTTGAGTTTATTCAGATGTGTTGTAAAGAAAAACAAGCACTTTTATTCCAGTATTTAATCTCCTAATGTTCTTTAAAAGGTTTAGCTTTTGGATGAAGCGTCCTCATGTAGCTGGCCTGCAGCAAATATGTAAACCACAAAGTGAGGGGATAATAACTTTCATCTACTCCCTCTGTCTCTGTCTCCCCTCTGTCCTGATCTGTCCCGTCCACACCCGCTGGGTTTAGGGGAGGTTCGGGCCAGAGCGGGCGTTCAAAGTTCTAACGGTTTTGAGCCCAAAATGTCACCTGTTTTAGACACTGCACTACAAAGACCCACAGGCCCTTTGATATGAGTTAGCTTTGAACAGTTCTCATCTGCCTTGTGACCACTGCCTGCGTTCAAACACGGCCAGAGGGAGACAGATGTGACACACACACACACACTATGAATTTCAAATGCACAGACACGCACAGCAGCTCATTTTGATCTAAAAGTGTGTGATGCGCTTGTTCTGTCTTTTGTATGTCTGTTTTTAAGTCGTTTGTTCTCTACAAAGCACTGAGCAACTGTTCTGTTAAATAATCAAATCTGACTTAAATGATTTCAAAAGGGCAGAGAGGGAGGGAGATTGGCTCCGAGCCAATCTGAGACCAGGAAAACACTTCAGTTATCCTCAAACGCCAGACGTGCAATTAAGTCAAACAGCAATTAGTTGGAGCTAATAAAATTAGCAGCGAGCATAAGCAGCAGGATAGCATATTAATCTCATTGTTCCTACATCCTTAACGTACAAACATGTCATGAATGGGCATTAAACAATGACGATGCCCCCTTGTGTATGTTGTAATTCTGTAGCTTTTAAGAGAGTACTTGTATTTTTTAATGGATTTTTCAGTAGTTGAGTATGTGTTTACAGATGTGGTGCTCTTATATATTTATCTGTGTACAGTCTCATCAGAGACTGAGTCATTTGCATCATAGTGTCTCACTTTTTCAAATTGTAAGTGGTCTTGCACGGAAAAGAACACAACCCACAATGTTTTCAAAAACTAAATCAGTAACTTAAACTCTAACTGCACTGTAAATAATCAGATTTTTAAGGATGCGTTTTATACCAGTACTTTTGATTCTATTAAAACAGTTCAGTAAAGTAGTGCTCTGCCTTCCTCTTTCCACCTCTGTTAGTTATTACAACGGACTTTCCAACAATATTTAACCGTGAGGTCATACTGAAGAGCTTTTATAACATCAATATGAGATGTACAGGGTCTATTCAGTAATCCTAGCAACAGCGTGTGAGGAAAAACACCCAACTGAGCCTCATAAGCCAAATTCTGTTGCAGTAACCTCTACAGCCAAATAACAACACCTACAATTATTTAGAATTCATTCAGAATTCATAAATAATAATTAACATCCACAGGATCCACAGGACTTTTTAGAACCACTTTAGATTTAGATCGAAAGACTGTCACCATACCAAGAACCAAAAGCAGAACAGAGTCAGATGAATCTTTGCTGAGACTAATACACCTGACCAGAGAGAGACCAGTCTCAGAGGTAACCAGTGGGGCTTTCCAAACCCCAATTCAAATTAACCAAATTAAAAAAGCAATGTGACGAAAGCGATTAGGATCACAGTAAATGCAGATTGGATTCTGGCACAATGGAGGTAGAATGGTTTAGCAATTAATTTACAGTGACCATTAAAGGACTGTGTTTGCATATTTTAGCTCCTTAGCTGCAGCACAAATGACACATATTCAACATTTTTGCTGACTATTTTTGAATGTCGGTTGTTTTTGTAGAATCTCACAGTTCTAGACAGCCATTGTTTTACATTTATTTCCAAATTTGAAATGTGCTCATGTTGTTTAAAACACCACAGTGGACTTCAAGTCTGCATAGATTATTGTAAATATTACATTTTAACTGTGTGGTGAGGCAGATTTCATTACTGCACAACAATATGTTTATTTGACATGGCAATTCAAAGTGGTACATAACATAAAAAGGCATTAAGATAAAGATAAGAGAAATACAAAGCAATATAAAAAGATTATAGTAGAATAATAGAAGATAAAATGAATAATCTGAAATGTAATACTACAAAATAAACAGGGAAATAGAAACAGTGCAGTTATAGTGCAATGGTAGACATGAATTAATGGATCCCAAATTTAATTCAGTGAACAGAAGAGTTTTAAAGCTCAATTTAAAAGAACTGAGAGTTTTTGTAGTTTTCTCCAGATATGTGGGCTACATAAAAACCGAACGCTGCTTCATAACATAGGATTTCAGAAATGTTTTCTGGCCCTAAACCATTTACTGCTTTATAAACTAACAGGAAGACAGTGCAAAGATCTGAGAACTGGAATGATGCTCCACTTTCCTGGTGTGAGTGACAGCAGCACCGTTCTGAATAAACTGCAGCTGTCTTAACTTTTAGAGACCCACACCATGACCATAGTTGAGCATGATGAAATATTATAGAGAGGCTAAATAAGCTACCCAGCAGTGTATAAAGTAGTTAAACTTATCCCCATCTTTAACATTACTGCAACACTGAAGTGCATAAAAATTATGATCCAGTTAGATATTTAGCGTATATTATTCTGCAGGGAGTACTTTTACTTTTGGTACTTTAAGTAGTAAATTTTGATGTTTTCACTTTTTTACAGAGTATTTATACTGTGGTATTGTTATTTTTTACTTAAGTAAAATATCTGAATATTCTTCCACCACTGCGTAAGTTGTTTAATTCTTGAAAAAAATGTAAATAAAGAAATGTAGAGCTTTTTTGTTTGAGGGATGCACTTTGGCTACTCATGTCGACTTCAGTATTAAAATCCTGGCTAACCCTGGATGGAAATATTACTCAGCGTGAGAAATCTAACTGCCAGTTGTATTACTTCAGAAAGCCTCCGGTAAGAAACCTAAAAACCACTAAAATCACTCACTAACGTTACGAGAGAAATTTCCTCTGTGCGAAAAAAAGAAAATTAGCATAACCTTACTGTGAGCATGGGGACCTGGGGGCAGAAAAAAAGTACAAGTGGTTACGTAAGCCCTACGTAAGGGTCTATCTATGTCTCCTAGCCAATAAAATGTCTTCTGAGTTCAGCCGTCATGACGTAATGCGATCTACTCCAGAATAGCGCGCGGCGAAGGAGTAGCCATACGGAACCGTGTAGCCTCTCTGTGGAGCATCTCGTCAATGTGTGTTTGTTTATGTGGGATTTGTTCGGCCCGGAATAAACCTGGCACGGTGGGATTTACGGCAGGATGTCGGCGCTAAAGGAGAACCAGTGTTACGGACTGTGCAGCGGTAACCTGAGCGGCGGTGGTAACATCTCTGTTTTTCATGTTAAACTCACTGACAGCGCGGCAAGAGCCATTGGCTCCTTTCAAAACGGCAAGGTGGGTTATTTTTAATCAGTTTCTCCTCGAATAATGATCAAAAACGTACAGTATCCGTTGCTTTTGTTGTACCACTTCGTCAAGGGGCCTCTCACTTAAAGAGTAAGCGATAAGAAAAGGCGAGGAAAGCGAGTTTGTGATTTGTGATTAAGTTCACCAGTGTCTCCCTCGGTTGTTGTCTTACATGAAATATAAATACATGTTGCATAATGCAATGCGGAAACGCTTCCCTGTGTGATGATGCTGTAACAAGCTGCTGGCCAAGTCGTTACAAGCTGCTGGCAAGTATTATGAATGTTAATCAGTGTTTGAGTCGAGGAGAGAAGAATGGAAACAGGCTGTGGGGTACAGGGGCTAGTTATAGGAGGTTATTTCTGGATTGTATTTGAAAGGTGGAGTACTTTAATTTATTGGTTTTGGTATGCATGAATAGAGTGGCAGCCGGTTTATTGTCCACAGTATTGCTTCAGGGTGACAGATGGACAGATTCAAAATCAAACATTTGACCCAGTTATTCACAGATGAATCAGGCACTGCAGGAAGTCTGAGTAGAGAACAGTCATGCACACTTCCTCAATTCAGTAATTCCTGGTAGCCCTAACACGGTTAGGAAACTCCTCTAATGAAGAAAATGACACCCAGTTTCTGATGAAAGGTGAAAACCACACTGCTCCTGTCACCCCTCTAGTTTTAGTACAAAGCTGTCAAGATGAGATAGACAGGAAGGAGGGGAAAACACCTAACACAGAGTTGAGTCTAACATGGACACACTACTGTTGCTGTGCACACGCTAGAGCCGGACCAATAAATTGGCATGCCAATATAAGGTAATTGCAGATAAATAGGTATTTATGTTTGTAACACCCGATTGGTGACAGTTAAAAAAGAAATGGAAAGACGGATCCTGGTATAATGTAATGAGTGTTGTTGTAGCATAATTTGTCCACTAGATGGCACTCTGAAACTTCCCTTTTGGCAACTAGAACTGCAACCACTAGAATAATCGATTAGTTGCCTATTATTAAATTAATCGCCCACTATTTTGCTAATCTATTAATCGGTTTGAGTCATTTTTTAAAAAACATTATCCGATTCCAGCTTCCTAAATGTAAATATTTTCTGGTTTCATTACTCCTATGAGTAATACATAGGAAATATGTTCTGGGTTGTGGATTAAATAAAACATTTGAGGACGTCTTCTTGGGCTTTGGGAAACGGTGATTGACATTTTTGATAATTTTCTGACACTTTATAGACTAAACAACTAATCAATGAATCAAGAAAATAATCAACAGAAGAATCGGCATTGAAAGTAATTGTTAGTTGCAGCCCCACTGGCAGCGCACATGTTTGGAATGCTACAAATCTGCCACAAAACACAGCATTTAGCTGACATCATTAGCTGTACTTTTGTTCAAAGTACTATTTATAACAACAGTAAAAGTTTATTTTTAAACTGAATTATGTTACGTTATCTTAGTGAGGTCTCATAACTACACATACGAAATGTTAGGGATAATCTTTATTCATGATATGTGTTTCTGAAAAGAAGAAACGAAAAAAGACTATCTGTCGATATATCGAAATATTGGATTTTAAAATCCTCATATCAAAATGGGTATCGGTCTTAAATATCCCTTATCGGTCGGGCTTTTGCACATACCTTGTTTCCTTATTTAGTTTGAAGTGTGGCTATACATAACCCACTTGGCCTGATCACAGAGACCGAGACAACAGACACAAAAATGGTGTACAGGCCGCCACCTCACTCTCTGCTCTGATCAACAGACTCTCCGTGAAAAGGTCACTTACATTCTAGTCATCACAGTTTCTGTCCAGGTGTCTAATTGACCGCTATGAGAGGTGACTGGCTGTTTCACTGTGTTCGTTGTATTCTCTCATGTGACAAGCTGCTGTATTTGAACAGCAGGTCGTAATGTCGATGCCCCCTTTAAAATCAAATTTAATTTATTTAAAGGGCTTGTCATCCACAAGTGTACATGTATGCCAGAGGGTACAAGGGAGGACCCTCACATTATTGCTGATCATGACATGAGCAATCCACAGTAGATACAGTACTCCACAAATTTAGCTTTGCAATCCTACAACACTGTCGCACAAATGATAGTTTTAAAAAAGAAGCATCAGAAAAATGATGCGGTGGAACCAGAGATGCCATCTTTTTTCATTCCATGCATCCTTCCTCTGTCCTTTTTATTTGTTTGTTTGTTTATTTATTTATTTATTTATTTATTTACCTACCTTTTTACCTACTTTACCCTCAATGCAACTCGATCACAGTCAGAGATTCTGGTGTGTTACACTAGTAGTGGCTAATGTAGCCCCTAGCTTCAAGCAGAGATGAGGAGCCGGCTGCAGAGGTCTTCTTTCTAACTCCACAGATTTTTTTCTTCTTTTGTTTTCAAACGAGTCTTCAGCCCCAACCGACACTGACTCAGTTGATGCAATTTATCATCTCATGCAGCTCCCTCTGGAGCCACAAAGGGAGTTTTTTTTCTTTAAGTTTTTGCTCACAGTTCAGTCAACTCAGTTTGTATTGCCACGCTGATCAGTGAGAAATAAAGATTTACATCTGGGGAAAAAGATAGCATTGGTATTCTGTATTGGCTGAGAACCTGAGTTGAGGTGTAAGAATTGGTATCGGTAGAGAAAACTTTTGAGCATCGCTAGTTGTCACACTAACAAGTGTACACCCATAAGAACCAGCCTACAAACGGTAGAGGAAATGTGTTGGTGAAAGTGGTAGTGACACCACAAAGATGGAAGACATAGCACTCAATCAGACACAGAATATCGTGTGTGTGTGTGAGCGTGAGCGTGAGCGTGTGCGTGTGCGAGACTCCAAGACACAATCAACTCACATTATTTGTCTTTTTCTCCAGGGTTGGCCTTCCCATCCCACCATCTGTTTTAATGGGAACCAAGGGGTAAGAAGAACTGGTTCAATAATTTCATCTCATGCATTAAGAGCTGAAAGGTGTAAAATCTAATTATTTTTTGTGTGTATCTGTCTCCTTCATGCCACAGAGAATCACTGTCCCATGCTCAGAGAAAAGAGATGAGTTGAGGGTATTCACCTTTGGCGTGACAAACGTCGCCCGTGACAATCCGCATGGAAGCTTTGACTGCGTCCAACAGCTCAGCACTCGGTAAAACACAACAAAACATAGAAAACACATAACTAGTTGACACTGAATATAAATAAATTTTGTTACATTTAAGCGGTGACAGTTAAATTTGAATAAAGGGTTGTTCAGTTGGAAAGGTGCAAACAGCAATTCTATGTATAGAATCAGCAAAGCTTCTGAACAAACTTCAGTAAGTTGCAGTTTAAAATGTCTTCTCTCCCCTACTGCTGTGTGAAAATCACCCTGCTGGTAACATCTCTTTTTAAATGCCAGAGAAAGCCCAGGGTTCCTTACTGCACAGTTCTTGGGAAGTCTGGAAAATGTAGAGAAGTGAATCTAATAACTGCCAGGAGTTGTGAAAAGTTGAGGAATTATTCATCAAATCTGCCATTGGAGCCCCGACACAAATCCAAAAGCCATTTTTGAAAACGCATGGGAAAAGTAGTATTAAACTACAGATATGTGTGGTGTATTTGGTAGTGAAGTAGTCTAACTGATACAAACATACATCCCACTGAACACTACCAAAACACAAGCGTCAATCATGCAGCTACGAACTCAAACGATGTTTCATTTGAAACGGCTAACCTGTAGCAGGAGTCCTGAAAGCTCTGTCGGATCACTGTCTTTACCCGCTGTCCTCCCTCCTCTTCCCACTCTCAGTGCTGCAGAGGAGCTGTCATGTCTCGGGGTGATTCAGAAGAAGATGACAGTCAACGCTACGGATGACTCGTACGATAAGGCTCGTCAGAGCATGGCCCAAGCTGAGGAGGAGACACGCAGCCGAGGGGCCATTGTCATCAAACATGGGGGGCGCTACCAGGGTATGAAACGCAGAAAACACTCGCATGTGCCCAGTGTTATATAAGAGATAACATCAGCTAAGGAGTAAGACTGGCCTGAAGACACATTTGTACTATGCTGATAATAAAATAACAAAAACAGTCACATTGCGTTGATTGCTATAGTAACATTTGTGGTAACTATAGACTGTATAAAACATGGATGTAGTGTCTGTGACGTCACCCATAGGTTTCTGAAGAGCAATTATGAAGGGGGGTGTGTGTGTGTGTGGTGCACCTGACTCACCTCACTCCCGGCTTACAAGAGTTCTCTGGATGCATAAAACCTCTTAAAGCCCGCCGGGTCACCCGTTTTAGCTAGCTGTAAGCTACTTAGATTGCAAATACAAATATAAATGTTTAAACTTATGTCAGTATATACATGCTACATATTGTTAGATCAGTTAGATTCTCCACAATTCAACCGTTAAGTTCATTTTATGGAAAACAACATGATGGGGGAAAAAATTACGACTCACAACTAGGGCTGAAGAATTAATGATTTCAAATCGAAATTACTATTTGAAAGAACGCAATTAGCTAATCGTGAAGATGGCAATTAAAATGCAGGTTAATTATAGAGCGCATCTGACCCGTTTAAACAGTCTTGCGGTACAAATTTATTCCGTTGTCATCTTTGCCATACGCCTACTGTTACGGCGACAGCATTTAGCCTGCCCTACGTTGTTGACGTGTTGTTAATTAGTAATTTTGTGTGCTTCAACTACAGGGTATTTTATTTTGTAAATCGACCAGATTCTCTATGCCGTTCTGTGTCTGACTTCCTGCCCGGTTTATCTGCTCTGTGCTGCTTGACGCGGCTTCCGTCAAATATAGACTGGCAGTGAATATTGAACTTAAGCTAAACTTAAAAAGAAAAAAAACGCGAATCGTAATCGCAATTACAATTTTTTTTTCCCAAATCAGTCCTACTCACAACCTTTGAAGAGGCCGTAATGTCCGAATCTGTCCATTGCTGAATCGTTTATATTCCTTTAGCCTGTAAGGGTCAGATCAAAAGAATCAAAACGGCTTTTCATAAAAATATGTCTAAGTTGTGAATACTGTCGTGTGAAGTCCATTGCTTACTGTCTCTGCTAACATTTATTTTTTTACAGTATGCATAACTTTAAGCCTTGATATTATTTAAATAGGTAAGATTAAATTAAAATTAATTAAAAGATAAAATTTACCCCATTTTTCAGCCCCAGAGGTTGCAGCTTGGTGGTAACCAGTGGCACAGTAGCAGCCAGTCTCTTCTCCTGCAGGTTTTTGTCCTTTTCTCTGTTTACAGTACACGCACATACAGTACTGTATATATTATTATTGTATACAATGTAGTGGTTTAAAAGGATACCCAGTCTCCACAGAGATATTTGCAGAATATACAGACAACATGCTCACCAAAATATCCATACACATGTTTAAACAAGTGATTTAGCTTTTTTTGTGTACCGCTCCACTTTCTACTTCTAGCCATCAAACCACTTCTCTCTAAACAGATATTTTAGCAATCGTCATCTTGTTTCGAGAGAACGCGCACACACTGTCAGTTCAGAGGAAACCTGTACAAAAAAACACTTCCTCACTTACTACAGGCTTGTGCAACAGTGTGGTTATTTCCTAAATTAGATAGCAGCTTTTGCACACTGAGGCATGTGTGCGTCTTTGTAGCTTGAATTTGGGTTTCTCAAGAGGTCAAATGAGGTCTTTTCTCTTTTTTATTCACAATTTTGCCACAGGAAACACATGGTAATCCACCAAGTCCACTTACTCTGGAGTCAGCACTATTTTCTTGAAGAAGTGTTGTGGGAAGTTGGACCTTCCCAGTTCTGACCTAGTCACTTTCTTTTAATTCTTGAGAATAAAAAGACACAAACTACAGCGCTAGGTAACTTATCTTTGATGAACCTTCCACCAGGCTCCTGTGAACAACACAAGATTTCTTTTGATGATGTATTTGTTTAATATGCTTTTTTTAAGTGCTGCTTTTGATGTGAGATTTCCTTCTCCCTGGCAGGCAAGAAGGTAACAGTGCGAGCTCCGGCCCCCGCGCTGGCCAGCCTGACCAAGCCCCGACAATCGTCCTACTCTCTCCTCGGCAACGTCAAGCGGGCAGTTGGCGAGTCCAAGGAGAAGAAGGGAGCCTGTGCTCCAAACAGGAAGGGCGTGAGTGACGTGCAGGAGAGGCCGCTCAGGGAGAGAGTGACACACCTGCTGGCTCTGAGGCCATACAAGAGGCCAGAGCTGATCTTGAGGCTGCAGAAAGATGGGCTGAAAGCAGGAGACAAAGACATGCTGGACTCTGTACTGATGGAGGTAAGTCATTCGCTTCTTTAGCCAGATAAACACAGGTCTTGTTACACATTATACTAGCAGGATGTTTAGACGCTTTGAGGGGATGAAACACTGTCACCCTGAAAACAATTAAACAGATGAAGAACATGAAATAATGAAATGAGGTCAATTTAAACTCTGAGCACTGAAGATGAGTCTTTTCTCACCTGCTTTTAATTTTGTGTCTGTGGGTATTTGGATGCAGGTTGGCCAGCTCAATAGTAGAGACAACACATTTGTTCTAAAGGACGGTCTGTATAAGGAGCTGCAGAAAGACTGGCCAGGCTACACCTCAGGAGACCAGCAGCTTCTTAAGCGAATCCTCGTCAGGTAACATTGACGAGATACTTGCCACCATGTACCTGCTAATACGAAAATGTCTGAAAATGAGCTGTTAAATCTTCACATTCTGTGTACATGAAAATGCAAAAACACGCTATCAAGCACTGTAAAGAGCTTGCCAAACCACCAAGCGTCGATATGACCCTAACCGTAAAGCCATGTTGGCAATTGTAAACGAAGCAGGCAGTGGCACACAATCTGACATCAATAACAGAACTCTGTCTCTCACAGCAAGGCAAAAACTCTGGTTTTACTGTCTACACGACAACACTGCAACTGGCGTTTGTTAAAATCCTCATCCTGGCAGGGGTTTTCAAAACTGTTCGGTTTCAGTGACACATTTCCGTGTGGACAAACTGCTAAACCGTGTAGAAAAAGTCAAGGTTTAGAAAATACTCATGTTTGTGTAGACAGGGCCTAAGTAGCTGGGTTAGGTAACTAGGTTACATAGGTACATTGTTACTGGGTTAGCTTGGTCACGTTGATTTCCTGAAACATCATGAAACCTAGTTTACTATTGTTTGCCAAATTTCATCCTGGAGAAGAAATTCCTGGCTACGGGTAATCGGGCTTATAATCGCCATTTTACATGTGAGCACGCACCTGCCAAAGACATTCAGAGAAGGGAAGCATCTCCCTGTGACAGCAGCCATACGGGAGGTGTTGCCAATGCCTGCATTTCTTTTGTGCTTTTAAAACACCCTGATCGTAAAACCTGCATCACCTGTAGGAAATGAAAGTAACAGCAAGGCAAAGCAGCAGTTCAGACTTGCAGATGATGTAGACACATCAAAGTTGCCACCTATGTGCAAAAAAAGGTACAGCAGTTTAAACACACTATTGATGCTTTCTACTTTGTGGGTTCTTCTTGAGATTTTACATGTAACACTTGTTAACCGATTACCCACAGCCATGACACAAATGTAGGTCGCTTTTCTTGCCTGTATATTGCCCACGTCAGCATGTTGAACTGCAATCAGTTACAAATGGTAGACCCTAAGCACATTTTAAAAAACTATATGTGCAAAACAGAATGCAGATTTTGTAGAATTGCCGGTTTATAGCTCACCTTCATATTACTGTGCAGGAGACTGTTCCAGCCACAACAGAACCTCCTCACCATCCCCGAGGCCCAGGTCAGTCCACTGCGAGAGACCCCCAACTCCTCCCCAGCACACCGTCCAAAACCTTCCCTGCCAGAGGAATATACTGACCCTCTGGCGAGTAAGAAGCCCAGGATATCCCACTTGTCAAGTAAAACAGCCAGTGACAAGTCAAGACTGAGGCCGTCCGAACATGCGGCTTATAGAGACACCACAGAAGCGACTGATGGGCAAAGGGACTCGGTCGATCCTCGAAGGCTTTTTGACTCCCTGTCAGCAGTCTGTCAGCGGGAAGCAGAAGCGGCCAAGAGGATGGAACCAAGTCCCTGTGCTCAAGAGGAGCCAGAAGGCCCAGCAGACCACCATCAATCTATCTCGGATCGCCCTCCCTACCCGCTGACAGCGTCTGACCTGAGCAGACACACAATTAAAAGGAAAAAGAACAAACACAGAGATCAGGTGAAGAAACTACTTTTTTAAATTTAGTATATGGTTTTCCCATTTTGTGCGATGCATTGGTTATCGAGATGTATTTTTGTTTTGTTTGTCAAGGAGAAGGATGGGTGGAGAGACAGGAAAGAAAGGAGAAAAGATTGCAGTTCAGAAGATCCAAACAATAAAGTCTCCCTGGACTGCACAGGTGAGGGCTGTTAGCTGCTGACTTGTGACTTGTCAATTTTTTCAGTATTTTTAAATTGTTTGACATTGTTCTTTCTTTCAGAGCCAAGTGAAATTTTGTTTGACTCTAATGTGCTTCAAACGGACAATGACACAGCAGACTATCTATCGTAAGTAAACCTTTTATTACTTTGACACAAAATGCATCCAAGTGTCTGTAAAAGTGAAATTATTACTCTAATGCATTAATAAAGTGGTGGGGGGGGATTAAGAAATTACACTTTTTGCAATACAAAACCTGAGGTTGTTAACACATTATTCTGTACTTACAGATCTGCTCATAGTGTCCCTTTTTCTGTTCTCTGCACAGGACGTATACAGGGATCCACAGTCATGACCAGAGACAGAGCTACAAGCTGGACTTTAACAGGGAGTACAGCGAGTACAGAGATTTACATGCTCGTATTGACAGCGTGACCAGGCAGTTCATGGAGCTGGACACACAGCTGAAACGGTTACACCATGAATCACATAAATACAAGGTGAGCACTGAACTTTATCACTGCTGTCAAATTACTTAAATCATAGAGTGCTTTTAAAGAGAGACTCCGCATAAAATCACAAGTTTAGAGCAACATTATTCTCTGCAATCTTGGAGGTGGAGGTGTCAAAATGGCCATACGAAGTTTGCAGCTCTGTGCATACACACTTTCCTCAATGCCATCCCTGTGCTTAACATGTTCTTAAATTTACAAAAATATAAATGAAGCCACGATTTCTGTCTTACTGATTGCTAGGGCTGAAACGATTCATCGATGAATTTGATTACTACTAAGCATTGACGCAATTTCCTTGCATCAATGCTTAGTTTAATCCATATAACTTTATAGCACACTTTTTCATTTCTTATATCGCACTTCGCGCTTACAGTGTGAACACGATAAGATTATCATGGCGCTGTTTGCAAAGTGGAGGAAGAGAGAGAAAATAGCCAGGGACAAAGAAGAAAGTGTCCAAAGTATGGGATTATTTCAAGCGATGCATCGATTAGTGTTAATTTTGTCAGCCTTTTTAAAATTTTGTCTTTTTTAATGAAGTTTTAGTTGACTAAAAGTCTGGGTATTTTAGTCTGTTTTTAGTCAAAAGAAAGTCAGAATTGGGTCTAGTTTTAGTCATTAACCATCATTTTAATGTTTTCTAACTCATAAGTATAGTTTTGTTCTCATTTTTATTTCAAAGGAGACATTAACTGATCTCAATTCCTAGGTGCATTAATATGCCGCTTCAAGTTCGTAGTGTTTTTCCAGAAATCTTAAAACCATATTGCTCGCAGTCCGATATAATTAGGCACTTTTTTTTTGTCCGCCTCACTGTATTTGAAATGACCAGATATCTAAGCGCCTCCTACTCCCTAGTATGTTGTGTTCATCATCCTCCGCAGTTCGCATCCTCTACAAGTTCAAGTTCTGTTCAAGTGAAAATTTAGAGGGAGAAAATATGACCTGTAATATTTTGTCTCCACATTATACTGACAAAAAAGAGATTTTATTAACGTTTTTATTTTATGAATTACATTTTATTCTCGTCATTTTTTTTCAACAATATCGTATGTTAATATAGTCACAGTCAGTGTTTATGGACCTTGTCACTGTCTCATCATTGTCTCATTTTCGTCAGGGGAAAAAAAGGTCGTTGACGAACATATTTCATTTAGTTTCGTCTGAGGAAAGTAACACCAGCATCGATGAAATAATCTGTAGAAACTTCCAAGTACTAAAATCATCGTTAGCTGCAGAGCTACAATTTGCCCACTTGAAGCTCTGATGTTGCGTCACAGCGAGCACATAAAGCCATATGTTTACAAAATAATTGTTTAGAAGAAGATAAAGATTTTTGCAGTTTATTCTGAAAAACATTTAATTGTGCTTCATAGGCTATAATTCTTACTGTGTAAATGATGGCATGCAAAAATTGGCATATGGTCATCAAGAAAAGAAAACACACATCAGTATGTCAGTAATGGTCCACTGAGACAACATTAAAGGACCACTGTGGAGTTTTCTTGTTTAAAAAAAATCTAAATAAAATAAATTATGCTTACGTTCACTGTCAAACATCTTGATCGCCCCCTGGTGGCGCAAGATGGCGCAAGATGATAGTGCACATCTGTGGTATTTTGGCTTCATTTTTGTGCAGTGGGAGGAAGTGGAGACGTGTTGTCTAACTTTAAAAGCAGTCTATGTTTGAGACCATTAGCTGAACCTTGACTCGACTACAGGGAGCCAGCAGTGTAGATTTCCACATTCAGTTCCTCCTGCTACTCAGTCAAGATTCATTGTATTTTCATGTTTTACACATCAGGGTTAAAAGCAGAGTTAAAGTAGTTAGAAATATTTCTATGGATGAGTTATGATTTGCTATTTTGTTGTTTTGTTTTCAATCACATTCATGTTATTAGTAATGTTGCATAAAAATAGGCATATTTTCCTTTTACCACATTTAGAAAAATTTAACAACTTGAAATTACAGATGTCTCCCTGTACTGGCTAATTCCTATTTCTGTTTTTCTGTCTTGCAGACGGTTCATAATAAAATTCTTCAAGAGTATCGCAAAATTAAAAAGGTAACAACAATTTTTTTTTTTTTTTAACTCTTCAATATTTATCCCAAAGTTGCTGCATGGGACTCCACTCCTCTCCTTTTGCTGTTATATAATGAAGTCCCCCCCTTTGTTTTGTTTTTGTTGTTTGTTTTTTTTGTTCTTTTAGTCCAATCCAAACTACAACCAGGACAAGATCCGCTGTGAATATCTACACAACAAACTCGCCCACATCAAGAGGCTCATATCACAGTACGACCAACAACAACTCAGTGTGGATCATTCGCGTCTCAAATGAAGAGCCTGACTGGGAAACCAGTGAACAGATACAATAATTACCCCGGGGCAGGTTCACGCTGCTGAGGTAGAATCTATGGTCTTCCTAGCCAAACAGGCGTAGTCTAACGAAACCAGCTGGAAATGTCATTGAGGAGTAATTGTGAAGAGCAGCAGTGGCATGCTGGGAAAAGCAGCCCTATGATATGAGATATTTTCTTAGAAGATGGGAAATTTTCTTTGAAAAAAAATGGTTTGACCAATGTGCTCTCACTACAGTGATGTGGAACTGCCAAGGACACAAGGAGTAACAACAGTTTTACAAAGGCTCCCAAAGCTAAAACTAAGCACTCACTCTTAAAAAATGCAAACTGATACATGTGGTGATGAGGTGCAAAGCCTAAAAACATTTGTAATTTCCCATCTCAGTTAAACATTTTGGGGTTTTTTGTTGTTTTTTTTAAATTGGGGTATTTGCGTATGTGTTCTGTTAGCCATGACAGTGTTAACGTTGAAGTCGGGAAGCATGAGATAACTGCACGCTGTACATACCCCAGACAGGTGAGGATTCTCATGGCAGCTAGGATGCAGAGGTGCACATCCTGAGAAGACATCTGTTCTTTGGGTTTGGTGTATTGAGACTGTATCAGTGTTGTCAGTTCATGCTGCATTTGCTTGGTTATGACTCCTGAAAGTATTGCCAGTGCCTGAAATGGTTACCAATTCTGGACTGGATTCATAGTATTCCACTGGTTGTCCTTCATGTTGTTTTCCTGGATCACAGAAGACTGTTAACGTTGAACAAAATGTTATCTTGAAGTTGTATTCAGGAAATTTACAGAATGAGCTGACCAGAATACAGAAAGTTAGTGTTACTGTAGGCTGAGGATTTGAGAAATAAAAAGATTGTGTTGCATGCTGTAAACAGAATGCATGAGGAGTAAATCTGAAGTTTTGTCAGTTTAAAAATAAATTTATTTGTATTCATTTTGTATAATCTTTTCCTTTATGTATGCTTTTTCGAGTATGAGGCCAGTCAGAAATATTGTGCCGTGCACTTACATGTATATTCCAAAAATAGAAAATATACCTCAAAAATGGCTATAAATTAACTGAAACGCATGTTTTAATTTACTGGAATAAATATTAATCTTGATCTAATCTAATGTGTAGCAGACAACAAACGTGTTTGTTTCACTCATAAGGTCTGCCAGACACATATTTAATTTAAATGTCTTTTTATATTGATGCCTTTTTGTTAAAGCCTTTTTTATTTTGATGTGCTTAAAGTTGTAGCTGTGATTTACTTTGGTGAGCTGAGCTTTGCCTCTGAAGACCACCTCTGAAGACCATCAAATCAGTATTTTACTTCATTGGCTAAAGATGTTTGAGCACAAAAGGATGCTCTCAGTATGCCCTAGAAAGTCAAATAAGCATGTATGTTAAAGTTAATCTCAAATCCCATGAGTTGGTCAATTTTTCACTGTCTGTTCGGGGTGATCCTCAACAACATTTCAAAAATATCAACAGTGCATTTAGAAAATATTGGTTAAAAAGAGTTAAAACAAGTTGGATGTTTTCATTTTCTGGAATAAATCTTACTAAACATTAGTGATGGGGTTAGTCAGAATATATTGTTTTATTATAGGCTGCAATGGATCTTCCAGACATTTTTTTTTTATCGATTTTATGAATACAATTTAAAAAAAAAAACGAATTATTTTACACCCATTCCAAGCTAAGTGGCTGGGGAACATTAAAATAAATTATTACAAGCAAAAATGAGTTAGTTTCCAGTCCGGGCATCACGTGGGAAAGACATAGTATCCCTTGTGGTGAAGTAAAAAGTAATGAATAATTTTAAATGTCTTGATTGTGATCGACTTTGTTTTCCGCGGCCATCATTGGCTGCACAGTCACGATGAAAGGCTCACACCTATTGGTTCAATCTGAAAGAAGGCTTCTGATTGGTTCATTCTCATCTCCATGACCTTTCATCCCCGTCAACCTCAGCAGCTAGTTGTAAACACTGAATGCGTGACATGTTTAGGTAGCTTAACTGCCCTTGTACTTTACTGACATATCTCGCACTGACACATGATACGAAGAAAGACACACGGACCGAAAGATGCGTGTTGTTAAGTGAGCGTATGGTGAGTAAATGAAAATATTGTGCTAGTGCGTGTGTGTGCTAATCGAGCTAAGCTAAATTAACTGAATGATTGCTTCTTCAGGTTTACGACATTTATAAGAAAGGAACCGTTTATTGTGGCGGGAAAAAACGATGTAGCTTTAGATGTAAATGTATGAAAGGCAAAGACAGTTTGCAGGAAACAAACGTTTGTGTTTGTCAGTATGAAAAGTAAACGCTTCTTACTCAGAACTGCTTGCCAACTTACTCATTCATTGCAGCGACAATACAGTGCTACATATACATATAAGTAAGATGAGACATTTCTACTTGAATCACATGGAAACAGTATTTCACAGTATAATATTGTGTCTGATCTAAATAATCTTAATCTGAAACAAGGTTGAAATGGACTATCCTAAAATCACAAAGATAAAATCCCACATTCAGATACATATCTCACACGTTTTACACCTTTTTTTTTTTCTTTTTAATTTTCTGAATTTATTTATTTAGACACAGAGGATATTTGTGCCCACATCTGTAAGAACAAACAAATCAAAATTGTTTTTTTTTTTTTTGTTCAGGCATCTCTTTGGAAGCAAAGAAAGGCTACAAGGATTTGATTGATAGATTATTTTTGTCACTGTTGAATATAATATTATATATAAAATATATATTTTAAATCTAAACCACTGACTTAATTGAAATGTCTAGCTTCATAAAAAACTCTAAATTCATCTAAATTCATATGGTTTGAATATCACTCACTTGATTTTGAATATATTTTTTCAGCAACAATATATAAGTTTAGCAAATACTATTTGTCATTTTCTGATGTAAAAATTCAAGTCAGAAATCTGGTTATTCACATTTGATTGGTGGAATTCAGAAATAAAAAATAATATGATCCAAGAAAGTTGAGATGAGCAACGTCAACTTGTAAACGTCAACTTGACATCCTCAATATATATATTGACATTAAGTTAATCTCTGTAGATTTCCAAATCTTTTCAGAACTTTTCAGTATGTGTTCAGCCAATGAATAAGTATTCTGTTAACTCATATTCTAGATTACACCAGCACAATACTTTGAGACTACATTACAGTAGTAACTAACTAACTAACAAACCTTAGCTACAACGCTGACAGATTAGAAGAGACATTAAGTTGTAATTTACCTAGCTCTTCAGAAGTTTACAAGCTTCTATCTTGTGAAAACAGAGATGATACATCCCACTTCTTTTCTGCAGCATGTCTTGCCGCCTCTTAATCTCCAGTCATGGCGAGGATTTTCTACACACAAAGGCTGTGGACAGCTCTCAGACATCTGAGCCCACATATCACCTTCTCATCTACAGCCACAGCCAGACTTTCACCTGTGAACCTCTGCAGTCCATTTCTTCCCACCACCTCATGGCAGTTAGAAGTTTGCTGTCGAAAGCTGCACACTGGGGCGGACAGGCCCGAGCCATGCCCTGCTGCAGCCCCAGACAGGCTGCCTTTCTCTAGAATAACTCCGGAAGATTTGGCCACCTTCAGGAAGATCCTGCCAGGCAGAACCATCACTGACCCAGACCTGCTGGAGTCAAGTAATGTGGATTGGCTCAAGTCAGTGAGAGGTGAAGGCTAGAAATGGGTTTAGCTCGTTCAGCTTGATGATGTATTTTCTCTCACCAATTCACTGATGGTAACGTTCATACATGTTCTGCAGGTTCCAGTGAAGTGTTGCTGAGACCTCAGACAACAGAGGAGGTTTCTCAAATTCTCAAGTAAAGAATAAATAGTGGATGAAAGGACAAATACAGGGGTCGTTAGGGGTTTATAAGGTGGTTAAAGTTTTTGTACTTCTGTAGGTATTGTAACAATCGTAATCTGGCGGTGAACCCTCAAGGAGGTAACACTGGGCTGGTTGGGGGCAGCGTCCCAGTTTATGATGAAATCATCCTCTCCACTGCCCTCATGAACAACATCCTTACCTTTGATGGTATCGCCGGTAAATCTTAATACTGAAGGTTTATATATATATTTTAAAACAAAATTATATTAGGGCTGGGCATTAAAACAATAATGATAATTATCGCAATATAATTTCCTCAGTATCAATATAATAAATGTTCAATATATATATATTGTCAATAAATATTTGGTTTAATTTATTTGAATAACGAACAAATTAGCACTAATTTTTCTGTTAAAATATTTATTTTGTTGAAGAAAAGAGACTGAAAAAAGATTTACTAATCATATTTGTTAAAAAAGAAATTTCATCATAATAGTTTTGAATGTTCTCCCTCAGATTTGTTAGTGATCCGCTGTTTGGCATCAAGTGTTTGTCACATTCTGACCATGAAGAAAAGTTTAACCACATAATTAACCATCTGGTTTCTTCAATTTTCAGTCAAGAGCAAAAATCAGCCTTTTGAACTTGAAAGAAATAACAATTTGACATTGATCGTGATAATTATTGATATCGAATGATATGAAATGTTTTTTTTCGTGATAACATTTTTGGCCACATCGCCCAGCCCTAATATATATATAAATATAAGTGTTATGCACATAATCATATTTGACTAATCTTTAGAGATTATTTTCTCCATCTGTCAGGCATTCTGACCTGTCAGGCAGGTTGTGTCTTGGAGAACTTGTCCCTTTACCTGGAGGAGAGAGACTACATCATGCCACTCGATCTCGGGGCAAAAGGCAGTTGCCAAATTGGGGGAAACGTGGCAACTAATGCAGGTGGACTCCGGCTGCTGAGATACGGCTCCCTACACGGGACTGTGCTGGGGCTGGAAGTGGTGAGCGGAGTAAATAAATAAGGAACTCTGTATTTAACAACAAGTGTTGTGTTATAACCACAGAGGAAATGTGAGACAGTGTGATTCTGATAAGGGATAAAAGCACAGATCTAATGTTTGTCTGTATTTGTATGCGCTGTGTACAGGTGTTGGCAGATGGGCAGGTCCTGGACTGCTTGGCCACACTGAGGAAAGATAACACAGGATATGACCTCAAACAGCTCTTCATAGGGTCAGAGGGCACACTGGGCGTTATCACCGCAGTGTCTATCCTTTGTCCACGCAAACCCAAATCTGTTAATGTGGTTTTTCTGGGTAGGATTTTCTCATTGCTTCTCCCTTACAACCATTCAAGCAGTTTTACTGTAATTTTGACGTTATTATTGGCAAGTGTGGCTAATCAAGTGTGTAAAAAGTTTAGGAAATTGTGTCACACTTCAGTTCATTAATGTCAAGAAGAGTTTGTTTTCCTGGATTAGCTAGTAAATTATTGTATTCTCTTAAATTCCTTGTTAGGCTGTGAGACCTTTGAGAAGCTGCTGAAGACGTTTCAGCTTTGCAGAGGCATGCTAGGAGAAATTCTGTCAGCCTATGAATTTCTGGATAGTGAATGTATGCGGCTGCTGAATACACACCTCAAACTACCCAATCCCATCTCTGGTAGGCACACACAACATGCACAGACTTGGTTTATAAAACAATTTACAGGACTCCCTTGTAAAAGAGACTGTGTCTTAATGGGACTAATAAATAAATAATAAGGTTAAATAGAAATGAATAAAAAAATTAAATACACACTCCTGCTCAACTCTTCCCTCCATCTTGCAGATTGTCCTTTTTACGTCGTCATAGAAACATCTGGATCTGACCCAACACATGATGGGGAGAAACTCAACAATTTCTTTGAGGAGGCAATGACATCGTCATTGGTTACTGACGGGACTGTTGCAACTGAAGAATCAAAAATCAAGGTATTGTTTCCAATCTTTTAAAGAATCAGTCGGGGATATTCTGTATTTTTCTTATCAACAAATTCCACCAAAAGACCAAACTGGCTATTAAGTATTTCTGTGAAGCCAAACGTGATAATGCATAATCCTCTGTACTATACCTTCATTACGATGAACATTTTACCACATTTTCAACTCAATTTATTTTGAATTAATCCCACATACAACATCCCGCTGCTGTAAAAACACACTGTAGACTGTACTCTTATTGCGAGGTCTAGACCTGCTCCACGAAAAGTGCAAAGAGATAACTTCAGTTATGGATTGGTGCTGTGTAAACAAAATTTAATTGAATTGACATTAAAAAATCCAACAAATACAGTATTTACTGTAATTCTGTTTGAGTAATGTGTGCTAAAAACTGATGTTCAGTTGTTTTGTGAAATGAAACAGACAGGGAAGGAAATTGGAAATCTGTGGTCTTTTTTTAGGGATTTAGCCATAATCCTTAAATCTCATGACCTAAACTTAAGTAATCCGGTTAATACTAGGGTTCTTTAATACTTCTGTGGTGTCTCAATCAGGCTACACCCATTTTTACCCTAAAATATGCTGCACCCTGGTTTAGGTTCAAACGATGATGATACAATCAACCTTTCCATGTCCACCATTTCAGGCTCTTTGGTCAATGCGTGAACGCGTCACAGAGGCGCTGACTCACGATGGCTTCACTTATAAGTATGACATCTCGCTTCCGGTGGAGCGGATCTACCAGCTGGTGACTGACATAAGAGAGCACCTGGGGGACCGGGCCAAGAGCGTGGTGGGATACGGACACGTAGGTAAGACCAGTAGATGGAAAGACGGTCTAGCACGAGGGAAATAACCTGCTAACATGATATATAATTTCTTGGAAACTCTTTAATTACTGTACAGTGATTTACAAACATTTACTAATTCGGCAGACGCTTTTATCCGAAGTGACTCAGTAAGATATCTAAAAGTCAAAATAGATAATAGTAAGAGCAGCAATAAATACTAGTAAGAGCTTTTAGCGCCTACGGAATCAATGGGATAAATACCTAGGGGAAGATGTAAGAGTTAACGAATAGTGGAGGAGAAGAAGAGCACAGGAAGTGTATGTTAGGGGTTAGAGGTGTTATTAGAGATAGTGTTCTCGGAAGAGATGACTATACTTAAAACTGCTCAATCTCCTTTCAGAAATACTTATACTCACTATTAAACACACCTCACTGCAAAATTGAACTTTCCACCTGAACTTTTAGGAGATGGAAACCTCCACTTGAACATCACTTCTCCTGCCAAAGACCCCTCTCTCCTCGCCGCTATTGAGCCCTTTGTCTACGAGTGGACGGCCAGCTGCCACGGCAGCATCAGCGCTGAGCACGGACTGGGCCTGAAGAAGAGGAACTACATCTACTACAGTAAACCAGTCCAGGCTGTGGCTCTGATGGGTACTATCAAGGCCATGCTGGACCCCAAGGGCATTCTCAATCCATACAAGACTTTACCAGATAACCTGAAATGACACGCTGTGGGGTAGGTGGTTATGCAGAGCTCATGCAGGAGCTCCATTTTAGGTACACCCTTACTGTCACGTGGTTTTTATGGCAGCTCATGCCTTTTCCTGCGATACCTTTGCGCAGTTAGTGCAGAGCTGCAGATTTCGCTAAGCAAGCCACAGACACCTTGTGACATTTGTTTGCTCAGTATCTAGAAGTTTAAGAATTTAGTTTCAGAATGACAGCTTCTTCAGCAAGCTGCTGACTTTGTACTGAGTCTATGTAATATAACAATTTAAATTAATGCTAAAATGTATCAACCACTTCTGCTGTTCACACTTCGAGAGCAACCTTAGTCCACAGAATATCCAAGTTTTAGGTGTTAAATTAAGGACAGTTTGTATAATAGATGAAAAGCTATTTTTAAGTATTGCTGGAAGGCAGTGAATGATCATGACTGACATCTGTAGCCATTAGTGTACTAGCTAAAGCTAATGCAATCTAATACACCAGGCCTGCAATGAATCCTCCAATGTTCAGTTTTTGTTGAGACTTTTTAGGTGTTAATTCAACTTTATGATCATTTTGGAGGCTGCAGTTTGTACTGCACTATACAGAGTGAAAACCCACTCGCTGACATAAAAAGAGTGAACAAAATGATCTTACAACTGTTATTGTAACTCAAAAGCACCACAAACTACATGCCTCAAAATGATGATAAAGTTGAACCAACACCTCCCTAAAACAGTTTCAACAAAAACTAAACATAACCTTCATGAAGGTAGGATTTATTGCAGCAAAGTTATATTAGCCTATTTTAGCAAGGTGTACCTAATAAACTAACTGCATCTTTTCTAAAATCAGAACACAAGCTGGCTTATCGTTAGGCAAGAGTGCAGTAAATGTTTTATTACATGTAAAAAAAGACAAAGCAACATTTCCCAAAACAAACCCAGCATTTGTGAATCAATTCATTTGTAACCGCAAACCTAGGCAACGTTTTCTGTTTAAAATGCATCTTGAATAAAACAGTTTCCAAATGAAGATGGAGTATTTTTCTAGTTATTCAGGCAACTTGTACAGTGTGGCATGATGGGGGGCGAGGAGTAAATTGAAGCCCACCTTGCTACAGAAAACTACTTCAGCTCTTAAAACAGGTCTGCCCTACCACAAACACGTCTTTGTTAATTCCTCTTTTCCTGCACAGAAGACTTTATCAGCCACAGTGAGTTTGAGAAGTATGTGAGGCACAGGGGATCAGTTCATTCCACACGCATATTCTTATTATAAGATACAGACTAATGCCTATTGGCAGGTACTTACTGTGCGTCTACTCCAGGAGCCACCAGGATAAAAATGTACCTGTAGTTTATCCTGTTTTTTTCCTCCATACAATAATCAAGCCTAACAGGAACAGTTTCCTACCTTTTTCCTCTATTTCTCAACAAATACTTTCTCACTAACTCCAGTAACGACAATATAGGTACAGAAAGACCAGTAGAGTAAATGCCTATTGTGTATACATCGCACCATCAGTCTTACATATCCTCAGTAGTGTGGTAACAGTGGAGACTTAATACATAAATATCATACTATTTTTAAAAAGTTTAAAAACAATTTTGATTTTATTGGATTGTTAAGTGAACGTGTGTTTTGTAGTGTGTGTTTGTGGCAATAGTTGGCATGTTCTAATAAAGCTAAATGAGTGAAACACTTCTGATTGTCTCTGAGCAGAATGCCAATACTGTATGCCACAAACACTGGCTGGGGATCAGAAATTGAATAGTAAGAGACACTCAGTATGTAGTGTTTGGGGGTGTGTGTGTGTGTGTGTGTGTGTGAGCAGTCACAAATGGGCATTAAAGCTTTGGGATGGGGTACTACAATATGCCATCCATGTTCTTCATACTCAGTAACAGAGTCTAGAGTTCAGGTCAGTGCGAATGCATTGGTAACTGGTTTGTGTCCTTGTAGCAAAGGCTGGCTTCAGACAGGACAAGTCCAAACATCTGTGTGGGCTTCAAGTCAAGAGAGAGGGATGTCGGTGGAAGGCAACCACAGTGAAAGTGAGAGAGCAAGAGAAGGATGAGGCTGGATGACATTTGAACGACTCTTTCCTCTGTCCATCCCTCTTATCGCCAAGTCTCCTTTAACAAACACTGTGCTCTCCTCTAAGCCGGTCCCTGAAATCAGCCAGCTGCCTCTGAGGCTCCTCATGACTCCTTGCCCTTCTCCAGAGAGCTGTGAATCTTATCCAGGGTTTTCTTGATGCGCAGTGCTGTCAGCCTGGCAGAGGGGTTCTGGTACCAACACTCCTTCATCAGTTTCACCAGAGCAGAGAGAGTCTGAGAGAGATGGAAGTAATAAAGGATGGGAAATAAAAAATAATAATAATTAAAAAAAAGAAAGAAAAAAGTGTGTGATGCAGTGAAACACCCACAGTGAGAGGAAACTGCTATCAATGTGACTGCAAGAGCTTTTAGATGTGTAAGAGCATTCTGTGTACTTGCAGACTATAGCTGTCTGGTACTAATCTCTCTTGCCTTGTTTAGCAAAAAAAAAAAGAAAGGATGTTTAGAATTTGTATCCCCAGCCATCCAAATACTTGAATAACTGAGGCTTGCCTGTTAACTTTACCATCTTGACAGTTTGGAAAATACTAATGTGGGAATCAAATCAGTCATATCTTTTAAAGCAGTCCTTTCCAACTTTTTTTGGCTTGTGTCCCATTGAAACAATGTCTACGAGTGTCCATTTTAATGGGTTTAATATGTCTAGGAGTCTCGAGCAGTTCAACCAAAGTGATTTTCCCATTTTAATTGTTTAGTTTAGATCACTTTTCGATCCCTCAGAATTATCCCGACCCCCGGGTTGGGAACCACCATCTTTAAGAATGGTCTATCCATAAACACTGGGTCACACAGGTACCCACACAAACAAAACATTGGCCATTTATTTTCATGCAACATTGGCATGCATTAGCATTGTTGTTACACAGAAGCTAGTTCTACGTGTGTGTGTGTGTGTGTGTGTGTGTGTGTTGCTGCTATATGTAAATTTACTTTACAGACATTCCCTGACTGTCAAGATATAGCTATGTGCAAAAAAGAAAGCAATGCTGGATGGGCGTGGGCGTCACAAGCTTGCACGCAAGGCATCCTGGTACATGTATGTTTGCTCGTATGTCTCCATAAGCAGGAGAACTGTGCTTCCTGTGTCGGCATAGCACATATTCAGAACTTTATTGCTTTAATGGACTACATTTACCATCAACAATGCCTGGATATCCATATAAAAGATGCCAAACCTTCCATTTTAAGGCTTTTATTTTAAACCCAAGTGACTACTTTTTTGTAGCTGACATCCCAGTGGAATGGGAATGATCATTTCTTTAAAATAATTAAATTTAAGGATAGTAAAGGACTAATACTCACAGGATCAGAGAACCAACGATTAGGAATGAAAGGCCTCTGCTGTTCCACACACACCACCTTCCTCATGTCCTCGAAGCTGGGGTCATTTGGCACCTGATCGTAGAACGGAGGCTTGTATTCCTCAACAATACCTGGAGAGTCAAACTGAGGTGTTATATAACTGGAGCAAGAAGATGAACTAGTGGTCAATTAGGCCTCCCTCCTAACAGCAGGGCCCGTATAAACCACCAGGTGGTTGTTTATATGTCACTCTTAAAAAAATGCACTAAATGCGTGACACTCACCATTGCTGTATGTACGTCTTGCTATCTCCCACAGCACCAGCCCAAAGGCCCAGATGTCCACTCTCTTGTAGGCATCAAAGCAGTCTGTCTGAATGGTCTCGTCCAGCACTTCAGGTGCCATGTACCGCTTGGTGCCAACCTTCGGATTGTTGCCCACATCCAGCTGATTGTCTGCCTGGGAGTGGGTCACCGCCAGCCCTGTAGCATGCAGAAATATACAGTGTTATAGTGGGAAAGGCGGCCAATAAAAGAAGAGACGACTGCAACTCAATGTAGAAAATGCTGGTTTCCAAACAAAATGCTCAGAAGAAAGATGCCGTCAATGTAGGGCTGATAATTATTCCAATATAATTTTCCTCAGTAACAATATTACAAATGTTCAATAAATTTTTGATTTAATTTATTTGAATCACGATTGAATTAGCACTTAATTATTCTATTAAGATATTTATTGTTTTGAGGAAATCGGGACTGAAAAAAGAATTGTTTTGACCGTTCTATCTCAGATTTGTTAAGTGATCCGCTGTTTGGCATGAAGTGTTTGTCATGTTTTCACCTTAAAGAATTGTTTAAAACCACAATTAACCATCTGGTTTCTTCAACTTTTCACTCCGGAGTAAAAATAATTTGTTACATAATCATAATGTATTTTGATGAGAAGAATGTTTTCTTACAATTAAGACTCCACAAAATATCTGACAAATTCTACAAATTCTGAAAAATGCTTATGTGATTTTATTTTGATGTTTGATTTACTACTGATTGGTAATGCTGTTACCAATAGTTTAATAATAGTATAAGATGAAATTAAAATAATGGATAACTGACTGACCCAGGTCTGCAATGCAGCAGGACAGCTCCTTTGTGACAAGGATGTTTTTGCTCTTCAAGTCCCGGTGTGCGATGGCCGGTTTCCCCTCTGTGCCAAATATCTCTGTGTGCAGGTGCACCAGGCCACAAGCTATTGACGCTGCCATTGCCAAGCCCTCTGACGTCTCCACGGCAACTCTCTGCAAATAGTCATAAAGCGAACCATTCTCATGGTAATGGGTGATGAGCCACAGCTGGGTGCTGGAGTTGCGAGAGGTCATGTCAGACGCCATGAAGCCTGGGAGGAGAGACAGGGGAGGCGGCAGACAGAAGAACAACACATATGAGAATAAAACGTAAAGGTTTATACTGGTGTTAGTCAAGTTTCATTTGTTACTGACCCATTTTCCTGCATTGCATTATATTGCGCAGGTGTTGCTTTTTTATTGCATTCACTTCTATATGTAACTGCTTTCAAACATAAAAGTGTAAAGAACATTAAAGGAAGCCGAGACTGGCTTGCGGTTGTATTCCTCTGCCAACCAGCCAAGTTGCAATTTACATCCATGTCGGTCCAGACTTTAATATATGTAGTGAATACGTGGAAGGAGCTGAAGGAACTGAGTACAATTTTAAAGTGTATTTGTGGCTAAATTAAAGTTTTCACTATATTGATACATATGTATGATTGCAGTGAATATACATTGTTGAACTGATTAATAAAAGAATTACTATAGATGTATTGGCTAAACAGGTACTGGATTACTTAAAGATGGATTCTTGGGAGTATAGCACCTACACAAAATGTGGAGCTTTTTTTACTGGCATTTTTAGATGCTAAGTCTCTCCATGAGCTGTAGGTGAAACTCACTTTCGCTCACAGGATCGCGATTAGCAAAGCGCGCTCCACGTGATTCTTAAATTATGGCTAAGAAAACGATTTTGAGGTCACAATGACCTTTGATCCTTGAGTCAAAAGCGTCACCTATTCAGGTCCGAACACCCATGAAATATGGTCACAATCGCCCCTTCTGTTTCTCAGTTATGGTGTTGAATAACGGCCAAAAAAGTGTTTTTCCAGGAAATGATGATGTCACAGTGAAGTTGACCTTTGGGGTAACAAAAGACATCACTTCAAGACAACCATGTTCTTGGTAACAATGCTAATACCATCATCTCTGACAGGAATGAATACATGGAGACAATGGGGAAATCACATCTTTTTAAACATTTGTTTTATCTTAAATCAACCTTTTCGCACCAACTGGTCTGCAAGATCAACATTTTTGTGTTTAACACACTCACCCAGTATGTTTTCATGTCTTAGCAGCACTGTATTGTAGATCTCTGTCTCTCTGAACCAGGACTTCTCATCTCTTGAGGAGAAGATTTTTACAGCCACATTCTCACCCTGCCACTGGCCCCTCCACACCTCCCCATACCTTCCCTTGCCTGGAAAAGAGAGAAGAGAAGAGGAGAAATTGAGAGATTGTTGTGCAGGAAGACAGAAACAAGAACATACAGATACATGAGTTTAAAATAAATAAATATAAAAAAGGTAATCATTGTCTGCATTTTATAATCTGAAAAATGCTTGGTAATGTATTTTGATATTATTTTATGGCTACATTGACAGAGCAGCTGAAGGAGCGCCAGTCTGATACAGATCTGATGTTTCCACATCAACCACATTTTTCCAATTTCAAACGGGAACAAACTGTACTGTCTGGTACTGTGGTATAAAACAGGATCCCAAAGCATGTGACCTAAATACTTTCATTTCCACGCTCAAATTGAAATTTGTCAGAGTTTCCATGACAATGAGTAAACTTCACATCAACAACCTAAGACAAGTGTCTTAACTTTGAACACGGTCAACAACACAGAAAAATGGATAGAAAGTAATACATGACTTGTGTTTTGACAGTTGCTTTTAAATAAGTCACAAATGATGTTACCTCCTATCACTGTTGCCCTCACACCATCTGTTTGACATCGCTGTCAGATCTGTATCTTAATACGGGTTACGTCCTTGTTTGAATATGTCCGCAACACTGATATTAACAGAAAACTGTAATGGAGACTTACTGACACTGTGTGCTTACTGCTGTTAAGCAGACAAATGTCTGAATAAGCATTTCCATCTTCCTGAATATCATGAAACCGCAGATGGCCTGTGGACTACAGTGTGTTATACCTACCTACACACTCCATCAGACTGATTTGCCTGGCCACAGTTCTCTGGACGAGGAAGGGAAGACCTGAACCACTGCCTGATGTACACGAGTGGTCCAATAGGTCCTAAAGACAGACACGGATATCCGATTAGCTGTGTATGGAGCATACGTCTACACACATCACATCAGATCACATGTTGGTTCAAGGCTACTGGAATTCAACATCGACAAAGATCCAGCTGGGATTGAAGCGTTGTCTATTTCAATCAGCGTGTTGTAAGCTCTTTTCATCTATGCCAAAATCTTTTCCTGCACTACAGAAATTTGGGACCTAATTAAGGCAAAGACAGCAGTGACCAAAGCACTATAATCTTGGGGTGAAATCAGGGTGCCTGCAAGTTTAATTAATTAGATGGTTTTATATACAAAGCGAATACCATTTAAAAAAGAACAACAATATTAATAATGACAGGTTATTCGCTGAAAAAAAAGCTATAGTTTTATCACATTTCGATTAATTTAATTTCTCCTTAGGGAGCCAATACTCCATAAAACCTTATTAGACTTGAAAAAAGTCTAATATGAAAAAAAGTGTATTTGAAACACAAAAAGCAAAACATTTATGCATGTGTTAAACTAAATTTCTGGCCATATCTTTCACATTGTACCTTTAAGGTTGGGTGTGAGCAGAACATGTGAGATGGAATCTATGATTACTCTGTTGCGAATCTCTTTTCATTGCTTCAACAACGACCTCTGTTGTTCTTACCGCTAAAGTGCTGTCTCCCACATTGGAGGTGATGAGGCCGTCTATGGCTCCCTGCTCGGTGTCAAACTCCTGCAGCCTCTGCAGACGGCCATGGTGGAGCTTCCTGCAGGCCAAAACTGACACTACAGACAGCAGTGCCAGAACTACCACCGGACCAAGTACAAAGAGAGCCAAGGCCTCCATGCGATATCGAACTGGCTCACCTTCTGGCACTGCGAGCAAGAGTAGAGAAGAAACAGGTACAGAGTGGAGAAAAGGGAAACAATTGATAGGGTTCTGTCAGATTATTTAATAGACAGCTATAAACCACAATTATTCTATTTGACAATTCACTTCCTAGCTAAATTGAAGCATGTTATGAACTAATATCCACCTGTCGGAAGCAGAGACATCAGCGCATTTGTGGTGGTGTTGCCATTGCACATGTCCTGGGAGCAGCAGAAAATGGCCTGGTGGGAGGATGGAGCTGTGGAGCAATGCAAACGGATTTTGTCCAACCCCTTCAGGCAGCCACGCTCAAACACCACCCCGCTGCTGCTGACTTTGACAGAGGAGAAACACCGCGTACCTTGGCACTGGGTGGCCTGGAGGCATTTAGGGCTGTCACAAAGACACACCAACTGTCCGTCTGTGGAAGAGATGATATGAGTTCCCCATACACTCGTGCCGTTTCGCAGTGCTCACAAACACATGCACACTGATTTATATAAAAGCCAACAGAAAGACTTGTGTCTAACCAATTTTCTTACTCAAACTAGTAGGCTGCTAGCACACTGGCTAAACATAACCGAGCAGTAAAAGACAGACAAGCAATATGGCCACTATGGTCACCCTCCAGCAGTTGACACCCCCACTGTCAATAAGGAAGAAAATCTTTGTTGCAGGGGCAGAGTGTGCACAGGTAGGTATGTAGACAGCTGCCAATCATTTTATTCAGACCAAAGGACATTATTGGCTGTGCTTATTACAGCCACAGATACCAGATTTTTTCTCTTGCTTGTGTCAGAGCATTTGATTTATTGAATGCTTTCAACAAATGTAACAAAAAATGCTCCTGAACTAAAGTGCCTACCCCAGCTTTAATGTTTTAAATCCGCCAATAAAGAAAACTTCATCAGCTATAGATTTTGCCTGTGTCCTGTATTCTTCCTATTGACTTTACAATAGTACAATAGCTTGACACTGCCAAATGGTGAACTATGCAGTTGGCAATTATGACACCTGTAGCCTATATATTTATGTATGGTAAAACAAAATTCCTCAAAGTCTGAATGTACCTTATTCCTCAGCTTGGCCTTAAATCATCACTCTGCACTCTATTTCTACCACAGAGATGGGTAATCTCTGGCCATCCTTTCTTACTAGTTGTCACCAAAAATGAACAGCTGCCAGCCATATATGTTGCTCACAATCACTTGATTGCACAGCAAGAACAGACAGCAGATAAGAAGCACAGTTTGACAACAATAAAACATAAACCGGACAGACAAATGAGCATAGTACCTGAACCTTCAGCTGATGTCTGCAGAGTCTGCAGCAAGAGCAGCAGAAGGATGTGGACACTGCAACGATCCATGTTTCAGTGCACTGACAAAAGGAGGGAAGGGGACCCAGAGAGTTCAAATGAGTACACTCTTGCTAAGAGGATAATTACATTTATCCCCTCTATGTATTCTGATGATGCCTGCCAAGGCTTCAGACAGAAAGGAAGCAGCAACAACTTATAATGGATGAATACAACGAGTCCTGTTTTTTTTTTGTTTTTTTTAATCTAACGTTAACGTACACTTTATGTAAACCACATAATAACTGATTATGGAATCAACTGCAGCCGTTTAAAAAACAACCACCTGGAATTAAATAACACTATTAGGTTGAAAAGTTAAATGTATTTACCTTGACATAACATAATCATGTGGTTAGTTCTTAAGAGGTTAAATAACAAGCATATAACTACTAATGGCTCTAAAATGTATCGTTTGCTCTACAGTAGCTGCTCTTCTGCAGGCTAACAGTTATTGTAGCATTGGCAAGAACTAGCCTAGTAATACAAATTCCGCTAGCAAGCTAACAATTTGAATTGCAATGTCACAGCATATGGTTGTTACACGTAAAGTATACGAACAAGCCGTGCTGTCAGCAACTTCTCCTTGGTAAACCTCACAGTCGAGGCTTGTGTGTTTGCGGTAGCTAACAGGCCATTAACAAGCGGTTTTATTGGCCGTCCACAGGCGCCTCTGAGGCGCCAGCCAGACAGGCGGCTACCCGCTGCTGTAACGTTAGCTGTAACGTTTCAGCACAAAGCGCAGCCTGGCAGCCCGGGAGACGACTGTCAAAACAGAGCGATAAAAAACATCAACCTACCTGGCACACACGAAATACAGTCTCTAACTCATCCTGTCATGTTTGTGTATCCCTTTATCACGTTTAAATAGCGGTATTAGCGTGATTTGCGATGTAACAAGCCGAAAGCAGGACCACAGCCCAGCCCACCTACTGGCTGTCTTCCCCTCCAGCCACATATGACGTCACCAAAACATTATTGTCGAGATGCATTGTGGGGCAGAGGAGTCCTCCAACAGGTTGTAGGCTAAAACAACCATAACATCACTGATGTTTGAATCTTGAATCCACGGGGAACAACATAAATTATCTTTATATGACAGTGTTTTTTGGTAGGTAGGCTAAATATTGTACTATTCTTTATTTAACTGCATACATGTCCAGTTGTGGAAGAAATACCCATATAATTTAAGTAAAAGTGGCAAATCCACAATATAAAACACTGTTGCAAGTAGGAGTTCTGCATTAAAAAGTCATTTAAGTATAAGTACAGACGTTTTAACAGTAAAATATACTTAAAGTGTTCATTATGAAGAATTAACCCTTTTGTAGATAGCTAGTGTTATCACTATTAGTGCATTAACATGTAAGCAGTATTTCAGAATTGTATCTTGTCAAGGTGGATTGCATTTAACCTGCTTTTTAAAACTGCTAGGAAGCTTAATCTAGTAAAAGGCATTATATTTTATAAACTAATCATATATTTCTTGTGTAAAATCTCATTCTGCAAAGTACAAACCATAGCTGTCAACTGTAGTGGAATAAAAAATATTGAAGTAGACAAAATAAAAATAAAAAAGCATAACATTAATGTGCTAAGTTACTTTGCACTATTGCTGATATCTTATTAGTTGGGAATTACATCCACAAGTTAGTTTGATGTATTTCACAAGTTAAAAATCAAACATATGAGTGAATTCCAAGTGAAGGGGTGGTGATGGTGCGATGGCACAAAGACACATGCCTTTGGTGTGAGAGACCAGGGTTCAATTCCCCACTGTGACACATCTACTTAGCAATTATAAGTCGCTTTGGACAAAAGCATCAGCTAAATGAATAAATGCAACATAAAAGTACTGGGAGAGGGAAAAAATGCCCTAAAGTGCAAACAATATTCACATTGTCAAAAAATATGTCTAATACACCATTTAAATATTTCCTTATTAATGCATCAATGACTTGACACTCTAAAAGAGACAATGTTTTAGAATAATATGGGACATTTGCTTTTAAATGTATAATTATATTGTATAATTAATTTAAAATTGTAGTATAACTAGGATTTGAATACCACCATCAGGAAAATATATAATTAATTACTTTATATGTAATAAATTTAGAGGAGGAGTGGTGTATAAGCATGTCCCTTCCAAATGCAAACTGTATGACAAATATAACAGTTTCAGGGGAAATCAGGGAGAAGTCACTGTACTTTTAGTAATTTTAACTGAAAAAAATCTTCCTTTAGTTATCATACAGCCCAGTCTGTGTGGGTGAGCATTTACTTGGCAATCTAATGTCACATACACAAGACAGACAGTGCTTATAGCGTCCAGGAACAATTCCTGGCAGAAAATATAAATAAATATTTAAATAAATAAAGTTTCTCCATTTAAGACATTTGGTTAATAACTACTGACTTTTTTGCGATATATAAACATATATTCAATTATGCATATTAGCTGCCTGGTTGTTTTTTAATTATTTATAGAATTAGAATTTAATATTTTAAATACAGATAATGTTGTTTCTAGAGCACATTAATGTTTACAACAGCAAAGTCACTATATATAAACTCAATATCTGACATCACAATACTGAGGGACGTTTCAAGAATAAAAAAAGTCTGTATCGGACCTTCCTCTTCCTCCTATGCTGTTATTCACTGCCTGCAGGTAACGTTACGTTCGGAGCTAACTGAACTTCACTGTCTCCACCGCCGCGGCGCAGCCTCTCACTCTGCTGGCCGCTGTGTCTAGGAGCCGACAGAGAGCAGCAGAGGCAGCAGCCTGATGATAAACAGTCCCGGTGCCGTTTAACACCGCGTTTCGGAGCCATCATTAGAAACATTAGTTTTCTTATGCATGGCATTTCAAGATAAATCAGATTTGACGCACCAAACATAACGTTACAGACCCGCTAGTCTCGAATCTTATTGATTTTCGGGTTTTGAGAAATGTTGGAACCGGGTCCGGGTCTCGATCTCCATCCCTATTGGTCAGCTTCTCAACATTGTGGGCTTGTTGACAGTATTAGTGTAGGCTACTAACTTCGGGACTCTCTTCACTTTGTTTTTTGTTGGTAGGCCTTTGGTAGTTAAGCTACTTGAATGTGTTAAAAAAAAAAAAAAAAAACGTTACATTTGGTGACAAAATTTCAGTTTAATTTATTTTATTAAGTGCAAGTAGCCTACATAACACTGTCGCTGTCGTTCTCTGGGACAGCTACATAGAAAGTTGGCATGGTGAAGTTTTAGCTAAATTTAGATCATTGCCTGATTCTCTATGAATCATCAGAGTGTTTTGTCATAAGAGACGCTGCCTGTTTTATTCTGAGTGACAAACTAAGGTCAGCTTTTTTTTTTTTTTTTTTTTAACTTTACTGTGGATCTTGTTTGCATGACAGATAAATGCTTCTGCACTTTTGAAGAACACATAACTGACCCCAACCATCTGTTATATATATAACACTTTCTGATTAGTTTGCGATGTGAGTAAGTAATATAAAATATATGACATTCTTTTGTGGCATTCTCACTGCCAAGAGACATCATAGGCAGTGTGATTTACTTGAGAAGAAGTTTAATAGTGGAGTAAAAAAGTGCATATTTCATTCAGACTGCTTGATTTAAGAAGTCCATCTGTGCTAGTCCATTCACCCATGCATGCTGAGGATCCGATACCCCACCCTCCCCACAGAAAAGACCTCTCTTAAGATGACCCTTCATCTACTGAGCAATCATGCAGATCCAACATTGCATAACAGCTCAACTAAAAGGTGGATTAGAAGGTGAATTCATTTTACTTGTCTGTTCAAACTCTCCCTGTTTAGATTTATTTATTTCTTGATTGGTTCAGTGGCTGTTCAAAAAAATTAGTGTTAGAGTGGGAGGGGGGGTTGTTTTACTGTATTTGCTGGGTCCAAAAACTGGGCTTCCACTATACTTGTGGGGTCCGAGAGCTTTGTGGGGACCAAAATGCTTCACAAGTTTAAAGGGCTGTTTGAGGGTTAAGACTTGGTTTTAGGTTTAGGGTAAGAATTAAGTTGAAGTTAGGGGAAGGGTTAAGGTTAGCCAGGTAGGTGTGAAGGTTAGGGTAAGGGGCTAGGGAATGCGTTGTCAAAGAGATGTCCCCACTAGGATAGTGGAACTACTGTGTGTGTGTGTGTGCGTGTGTGTGTGTGCTTTTCTGTATGTGTGCAAAGAGACCGAAAAGGGAGAATTGTATCAAGTTGCCAATATATTTTACCTCCAATGGGTCCTGTGGCCGCGAACAATAGCCAGTGCTGTTTGTTCTTGCTTACCTGGGGCTTTAGTCTCCAGTGAGTCAGAGCAAGACCCCGCCAGTATCTGTTCTCCATGAACACAGCTCCAGCACAGAGACACATTGTCCGCAGCTTTTTTAATTAAAGACCTTGGGTTGACACTATGTGCCAGGTGACCTGAACTGCTCCGAGCCTACGTGTGTCTACCACTATCCTCTCCGCTGGGGATAAGTCTCAGTGGATAATTGGCGGGGGAAATGCTATACTGCTATCATTAGATGGAGGAAGGATTATCTAGTGAGGACTTGGACGCAAGAGGCAGGATAGAGGAATAATGTAATGTTTTCTTCTTTCTACATCTAGCCGACCTGCCTCATTCTCCCACCTTTTACCCTCTCTCCTCCTCTTTCTCTCTTTCTGTCTCAGAACCATGTTATAAGAGAGGGAGGGGGTAGCAGAGTGACTTTTTTTTTTCAATGAAATCCACCATCTCTGCTGTATTAGAGAGACTGATCCAAGCAGAGTCCCTAGCAGAGCCGAAATGGAGCGTCTAGAGAGAAGACTGCCTGCAGCTTTCCTTCTCCTTCTGCCTCTTCTGTCTGTCAGCTGTGTCTCAAATCAGAAAACTACAGGTAGATCCAAAATAATGTCAATTTAAGGCTATTTGTAGATTTAAAAAATGTTGGAAAGACTTATCATTAACTCTTACTTGGGTGCATGATTAAAGTAATGTTTAAAATGTGGGGTGTAGTTATGAATTGTGCTCTTCTGCAGGTAAATTTGAATCATTTTTTTATTCTACACTGTTTTATTCAGTGTCCTGGTGTGTATTGTCCAACGCTGAAGAACAGAAGTGTCTGGATTTAGCCGGAAACGCCACAGCGCGGAATATTAGAGGCACTCTGCAATGTGTCCGTGGCCTGAACACCAGAGACTGTATGGACAAAATCAAGGTACATGAAGAAACAGGGATGGGAAAGTGGATTGACCATTCCATAATATGACCATTTTCACCTTCATTAAATACTCAAATTCTAAAGAAAATGAGTCTTTGGTGGCGGTGAGTAAAAGAAATACTACACATGATCTTCAGCAGTCCCTTTGGATGATTTTGTTTTACCATCTCACTATTTCCACATCTTCATTAGCTGGCCACATTTTGTTTTTTTTTCAGAAATCACATACATCACACTTGTGCATCTTCAGTATTTGTTGTCATTTTATTTGGAATAACCAAGCATCCTTTATTCATTTGACATTGACAAAATAAATGTGTTTTTGTCAGAATGGGACAGCCGATGCAGCATCCATGTCTGCAGATGACATCTATGCTGCTGGCCTCTGCCACGGCCTGGAGTTGGCTGCAGGAGAGTCTTACAACGGAGTGGGTAAGTGATAGGTTGGAGCCTTGCAGCAGGTAATACAGAGAGGCACTGCAGGCTCAGATGCATAGTTGGTGTAAGTCAAAGAAGATGAGTTCATACCAAAATATATCAAAATCAACATATCTTGCAGCTATTCATACAAAATGTATGCTCAGCTTGCTAGAGCCATATATACAGTGTGTAGACCAGTAGTCTTTGTGTCTTGTATCTTTATTAATCATTTTCATGTTTTTTCCCATGCTCCCCTGATATGAAAAATGATTCCCACTTGCTTTCTCCCCCTCTTCCCGGTTTTTCTTCCCAAACCGTCCCCCCAGATGGTATTAGCTATTACGTGGTGGCGATGGCGCGTCGCTCGTCCTCAGACCTGTCCCTGCTCGAGATGCACGAACGCAGCTCCTGTCACCCCGGCATACGCACCACGGTGGGGTGGACTGTTCCTATTGGCTACCTGGTCAACACCTCCCAGATCAGCATAGGGGAGCAATGCAACTTCCCTAGAGGTGAGACAGAGCGGGACTGGGAGGTCGAGGCAGGAAAAGTGTATGTATGTGTGTGTCTATGTGTGTGGAGGCTGTATGAGAGATTCACAGTTTCAGAGAGGGGAAGCAGTGATGTGGAATGAAGAGTGAAGGTATGGAGGGGACTGGTGGTAAGAGGAGAAGGGTCATTTAGAGAACAGTGCACCTGTCTCTGTAAATGTGAGATTGGGATAGGGATGTGTGTGTGTGTGTGTGTGTGTGTGTACAGTGTAACCCTCTCTTGAAGGTCGTAAGTTCTTCAGGAGAGGGAGAAGCAAGCAAGACGATAAAGATGAATCTTAGTATTAGACTGGCAATTTATCCTATTTTTCTCATTGACAACACATCCCATGAAAAGACCAACATCAACAATCACTTGATCTTCATATCCAAATCTGATATATCCTGATCCTCTGTGCCATAGAGGTCCATTGTTGTCTACCAACTATAAAAAACATAAATGAACCACAGTGTTGCTCTGGGTGACATGTTTAATATCATAAACATGGGCACTGTAGTTTATCTGTCGATCTCACACACACTGCTTTGCTACTGTAAATACTCCCTGGAGCACCATATCTGTAGCTGAAAATAGTCAGTTGCAGTTTAATAGAGCAATATTTACTCCTTTATTAGTGTGTGTGTTAAAATTCAAAGTCCCCAGCCGATTTAGGATATTACTCAGCTTTTAGAAAAACAAAGGCTATATATTTGTGACCCATTTTAAAAGTTTTCAATCTTCAGTAGGAACAAAAATTATCCTCCTTTAGCCTTTCCTATTCTTCTTCTAACTCATTCTTTGTCCTTCTCACCAGCTGTTGGCAACTTCTTTGGCTACAGCTGTGTGCCGGGCGTTAAGGATCCCCAGCACGACCCCAGAGGCAACAACCCCAGGAACCTTTGTGAGGCCTGTATAGGAGACGAGAATGACAGACACATCTGTGCCAGTAACCACAAAGAGAGGCACTACGGGGAGGCAGGGGCACTGAGGTACAACATTAACACTAATAACATGGGAAATAATACACTAATGGCACCCAGAGGTGGAGTAGTTGTTACGAACTCTGCCTCTGTGTCTCCAATACTTTATATCTTTTTCAGCTGACTGTCTCTATAAATACAAAAATAAAGAATAATTACAGCTGCCTGCTCTGAAAAAAAGCTAATACAGTGATAATAGTTGTAATAAGTAGTAGTAGTAATAATACAGTGATGAATGAGTAAAACCTCAGTGAGTCTTTTTTGAGAGCCTATAGAAGGAATAAATTATGAAACTAAATTAATTATGCAAACAGATCAGAACAGAGAACAAGCAACTTGGATGAATTCCTGTGCACAGCAATTTCTTTTTAATGTCAGTTTCATTCACATATATATATTTCTTTGTGTTAGAGTACTGTAGTGCTCAGTAAAATGGCATAGTAGTGTCTGTGAGATGGGAAAAAAAGGGCAACAGGAGCTATATTAAATTCTTGAAGGGCAACAATAGGCGGCAAAGGGAGTTTAATTATGGTCTCAAGAGTCATTCTGTTATAATCACACGTTCCCAAGTGTGCTCATTTCCACGTTATTCATGTTTTGTTCTATTTACATATTAAATGTGTCTGATTATTAATGTGTTTTATGTTTTTCTTTCAGGTGTGTGGCAGAGAACCTCGGTGACGTGGCCTTTGTCAAACACACAACAGTGTTTGACAATTTGGATGGTTAGTGTTATTGTGCATTTTATAGGCTACTGGTATATGCCACTGGTTATATAATGATGTATGATAAGGTTACCGGGGGCCAGCAGAGAGTGCTAGTCCCTGTCAAGACAGAAGATGTCAGTGTTTCTCATTAGAGTATTTTACAGTATGTGAAATCCAGAATATAATGAACAGATTACACTGAAAGGACAGGAAGAGACGGACAGTGGTTCATAAATGTCCTAATTCTCTGTTTGCTGCATCTGCTCGCCGCTGTTTTGGGCAACATCCAAAATGAATGGTGATCATTATAACAGTCAGACTACACAGACTCTGCTGGTGCAGCTGAGTAGGAACAGTTTGACGCCAGCTCCACAAACACTGTAGCTGTTTAATGAAGCATGCTTTCTCATATGGTTCAGAAATGTCCAGAGTCAGACCAATTAATGGAGGTCAAGAAAATGAAGAGGGTCTGTGCTGAACATAGCTTCTATCTTCTTCCTATAATTATTTGTTTGGCTAAATGGGATTTTGTTAGCCTTTTTAAATTCTTAGGTGTTCAACCATGTCTCTCAAAATTAAAATGTGAAATATTCAGAATATAAAGTCAACATTCAGATTCAGCCCTAAAAAAAAGGAATGTGCTATTTGAAAGATTTGTCAAAAGTGGCAAACACTGAGTCCTCAAATAAAAACAAATTGAAATCATTCTTAAACTGTTAGTAAACCTAAACACACATGATGTAACTTTATGACTTTATAAATTGAACCATGCATTTTCAGGGTGAAAATTGTGTAATTTATTCTTTAAAAAGTTACATAGTGCTTCTTTGAGTGGGTGTTGGCCTAAAATGGCCTTGAATTAAAATCTGACTCACCTTCACTCCTCTCCTGCCCAGGTAAGAACCAGGAGTCCTGGGCCCTGGATCTGGAGCTGGAGGACCTGAAGCTGCTCTGCCCAGATGGGACAGAGGCAGGTCTGGACGAGCATGAACGATGCCACCTGGCAGCCGTCCCGGCTAACGCTGTTGTGGTGCGCACAGAGAACAAGTGTCGCGTCTGGAAGTACCTGGAACGTTTACAGGTGGGTGTGAGCACAAATTGCATCAGCTGTGTGTGTGTGTGTGTGTGTGTGTGTTATTCTCCAGATATGCGTGTCTGTCTCATATCTCTGTGGAGTCTGTGTTATCGATCTGCAGATTTCTACTGAACCGTCATTGTGAGTATGTGTGTGGGAGACGCCAGGATGACTGCTACATCCTGTGCTGATCCCCTGGCTACACACACACACACACACACACACACACGCACACACGCACACAAAACCCAAAGAAACACACACATACGCAGAGCACGCCAACGCACATCAATGCATGCCCTCATTAAGTCCTGTCACACATTTCCTCTGTCTTGTAGAATGTGTTTGGCAACGCCACCGAGGGCTTCAGCCTGTTCAGCTCAGCAGGCTATGGCGAATCCGATCTGCTCTTCAGTGATGCCACCCACCACCTGCAAAGGGTTCTGGGTAGCTACACCTCTTGGCTGGGCCCTACTTACACCACCAAGCTGCAAGCCTTCGAGTGTGAGGGTAAGAGTGATAGTGTGTGTCTTTTTGCTTGTATGTAAAAGTGTGTTTATTTGGATCTGCTGATGATGAGCGGCTGGCAAAGTAGATGGAGGAGTGCGTTCTCCTGTGTGTGTGTGTGTGTGTGTGTGTGTGTGTGTCAACTGCAGCTGTTCTCATTATTGCACTTTCCCTCCAACAGGCTTCTGCTGATGGAACAGTAGGAAGATATCCAGCGCATCAACTTCCACCCCATCCCTCTGTTCCCCATCTTCCCGTTCTGCCTTCCCTGCCTGCCATCTGTGTCCCTCTGCCACTCCATCTCACCATCCTTCATCCTTTCTGATTGGCTTTTTGTGTTTGTTTTCTCCCTGCATTTCACCACCCATTCTCTTTTATTATGTCCTCGTCCTCCTCCAACCCAGTGCTTCCTCTAGCATGCTGGCTGGCAGGGTAGGACATCGCTAAGAGGGGCTAAATCAGCGAAGAAAAAACTTCAGAAAATGTCCCGGAAACTGACTTTAGGTTTAAGAAATGACACTAGGAAGAAAGGGAAGGAAATAGAAATGAATAGGATAGAAATAAAAAACAATAAAATAGAAAAGAAGTGCAGGTTAATAAGAGTTGTGGTTCGTATGTTATTGACAGATTATGTCTCTTAAAGCATTTTCAAAAGAGAATTTTGATGAAGATTTTTGCAGAATTACCCCATAAGCATGTAACGTCTTCCCCCAATATTGATTTATACGTACAAAAAAAGTCCTGTTAAATGTTCCTACCCTGTATGTTTGTTGTGAAATTATGTCCTTGTTGCATTGGTCTAAAGCTTCAGTACCACCCATACCCTCCCTCCTCCCACAGGGTCTGTCTCTGGCACTGAACAACTGGGTGCTATTAACTTTGAGCTTAGAAGTCTCAGTTACTGAATGTGTGTGTGTGTGTGTGTGTGTGTGTTTATGTGAGTGTACACTTTTTCCCACAGCCATTATTGCCCTAATTGGAAGTCTGGCATATTATGCTGTTTGTTTGTGTGTGAGTGAGAGAAAGTGTGTTTGTGTGCATGTGTGTGTGCATTTGTCTGTACATGTACGTGCCTATGTGTTAGTGTGTTGATAGAATTGCTGCTTTCCCATGGCTTGTATAGCATACATCTTTGGATCACTGCTTTCCCACGACTGGTATGGTGGACTGGACTATTCCAGCTCACAGTGTATTGTTACACTATACAGTTAGGGAGAAACTGGATTAGGGCATGGGTTGCTTTCCGTGACCCCTACGTGAGTCTTTTTAAAAAAAGCTTTAATCATTTTCTCATCTGTGACAATATTTGCATCACCCAAAACTCCCAAAATGTGCTCTCAGAATCCTACTTGATCTGTCCTGCTTCAACACATAAAGGAATATGTGGACTACTGCTGTGTTTTTCTACAATTTATCATTTATACTTTAAGATTCCTACCAGTAGTGAGACATTGATAGTGATAGAAGGTAAGAGCTATTAACAGGAGGATGTTCGAGGCTGGTGTTACAACCAGAAATTAGTCAGTACAGCATGTGATATTATCAAACAATTGTTATGAAGAAGAGGATTCCTGTATGAATGTGCTATTAAGAAATAGTTATTGTCGAAAAATACATGAGATCATTTATTTTTCTGACATGTTTAAGGGACTGTAATTAAAGAATCACGGTTAAATCACCAGCCAGTTTAAAGCTTTACTTTAGCAGACTGTAATTCTGGGCTTTAGTTGTCGTCCCTGTCTTTATTATTTCTTTCACATTCTGCACCACAGAGCTCAGCAATAAACTGATAAACGGGATGAAGTTCTCCTCGTCAAAAAGTTTGGTTTATGACCTCCTCATACTGGAAGAAATCAAATGAATTAGAGCTAGTCCAACAGATATAAATACAGGAATGTATTTACAGTGATTTGCTGAGGCAACAGCAGGTTTATGTAGGTTACTTTTGCTTGGCCTTCTTTTTGAAATAAAACATTGTCACGTTTCATCTCCTGTAGCCAACTGTAAGTGTTACGTTTTGGCTCTTGATAGCAGTGTGATTGTGCAAGATGAAAGGTGCCAGATTTTTCTCCTATCTGAAGGATAAAGGCATATCTGTTGTATTAATTCAACTCTGGTTTGTACCATTGGTGCTGTTCATTTATGCCGTTGTCTTCAAAGAGCCTTGATGTAAATACTCCTCCTGAATGTGTAGTGCTGCAAACCTTCATTTTTTTCAACCAATTAAATTAATGATGATAAAGAAAACAGTCCTCATTAGTTTTATTTTTTTCCAGCTGACTTCTAATTATCCTGAAACCACTCTTTGTGCTTGATATCATCTCTCTTGCTCCATCTTACACTCACTTCTCTCTCGTTCTCTGTCTTTCTGCCTCTCGTACACGCATTCACTCAGAAATAGGCCATTTGCTCCCCTCTCAGCTGTTTGGGAGCGAAGGGAGGAATTAGGATAAAGAGAAGTAAAAAAAGGAGGGGTGGGGCTCTTTCACACACACACACACACACACACACACACACACACACACACAAAACGACCTGCATACAGAGACTCAGGTGCTCACTCAGGTAGAGAGAAGCACCTCCCATGTAGACAGGTGAATCAGGGACACACCTTCATAATAGGTAGAGACAGACTTCTACTCAGCATGGACCAAACGCCCATGCTGGCTTTGCTTCACCTGATTTACAACATTAAGAGAAAGTCTGTGTCTGTGATCGAGGAGTACCATTTAGCAGCTAGGAGATACTGTAGATTGAACTGCTTTGCAGCAGAGTGCTGCAATCGCTCTCAATCCTCAGCTCTCTCACTGGCATTCTGCTGTAATGCTGTAATAAAAACAACTAAGGAGGCCGCAGTGCAGTCCTCTCTTAACCTTGAGGTGTGGGTGTGCAAGAGAGGAAATTGTGTTAATGCCAGTGGTGGAAAGGAACTAGTAATTTAGTCATTTTATATCTGCACTTATACAAAACACCATAAAACAGAAGTGAAAAAATATGAGCAAAGAAACCACAGGCTTTTGCAGTGGACCTCTCCCACACTGACAGTAATAAACTAATATAATAAAAACATGAACTTGTCAAATATAAATACAAATGAAATACAAGAAAATAATCAGTGGAAGATACACTGAGATCTGTTAGAGTAGCAATGCGTAAAGATACTTCCTTACAAACAAGTTGTTGCAGTCTTTTCATATGACAAAGGACATACTGTGCCTTTCATACTATAATAAAAATAATGGCTGAAATGCATTAGTTGTTACTATATGTATTATTATCGTGCATTACTGTGTAAGCATCATTAAAAAGCTTGTCAAGGTGGAACTAAATTTAGCTACTTTACTGTTGGGTGGTTTAATCTACTATACGCTCCATGATTTATGCACTCTTTTGTAAATAACATCTGAATCTGCAAAGTAACTTGTCAAAGCTGTAAAATAAATGCAATGGGTAAAAGGTTTCATTTCCCTTTGACATGTAGGAACAAAGTGTAAAGTTGTAGAAAATAGAAAAGTAAGTAGGCTACAGTATAGTATACAAGTATAGTAGCCTTAATGTGCTACTTAGTTAGTTTGCACCACTTCTTTCGCGCCTTGTGAATGCCAGTAAGTTTATGAAAGTGTGTGAAGGTGCATGCATGTGTCATGGATGTGTGTGTGTGTGTGTGTGTGTGTGTGTGTGTGTGTGTGTGTGTGTGGCCGGCACGGGTGACGGCACAGAGGGGACACAATTTGACCGAAGGTTGCGAGCTGAGAGCGGCAAAGAAGAAAGGGGTGACAGTGATGGAGGGAGAGAAGAGGGAAGGGTGACAGGTAATCCATCAGAAGCGTCACTGTCATTATTCAATTACCACCCATCCTTAGCACTCATGATAACCCAAACACACACACACACAGGGCAACATACCCACACATGCCCACACACAGTGGGAAGTTGCATAGAAGTGGCGGATCATCTTACACAAGGTGGGTTTGTGCTGTGTGGGAGGTGAGGTGAGTTGGGACACGGGGTTTGGCATTGGTTCTTTATATGCTTTTAGTGCAGCAGACCCTTAAATCTCCTTCCTCTCTCATGTCCTCTACTCCCCCCCTCACCTCTCTCATCCTTCACTTTTTCTCATTCTCATCTCTCTTCTCCTATCGCCTTCCTCTCCCCTTCTCCCTCCATCGCTAGTTCCAACCGTTATGCCCCTTTCCCTCTCCTCCTCCTCCTCCTCCTCCTTCTCCTCTTCTCCCTCTCCACAGCTCATGCCGTCCCCTGAGCTGATAAGGAACATGGAGTATGATTAGACGCCAGTGACACCAGGCTTATCGTTCTGCTCCCATAACGCTCCCCGGATCACTTGCACAATAAAAACCAAACAGTACACACATACACACACACACACGCACAGCAAGACTCACGAGACTGGCTATCAATTCTAAATATGTTTTTGAGCTCAGTTTGTGTGACGGCGCATGTTGCTTCCATAATGACACACAAGCTGGGTGAAAAATGACCGCGGGCAGCAGGTTGTTTGAGTGTGAAGCAGCCGGGAGAAGGATGTTAATGCATAGCAGTTTGTGTAGGTGAGAGTGGGTGTGACATGAGGTTGCAGGGCTCAGTGGTTTTCACCGCATGAGAGAGTTTCGGGTACCAATCACTAGATGGCACTGTCTCCTCAGTGGTGCTCAGTCCATCTATCATGCCTTTTCCAATATAACCATTGTAATGCCACAGGGGGATCCAAATAGCACACTTACTGAGGCTCATCTCTTTTCAACACAACTCTGGGTGTTCTGCCTCCTCCCTGCCTATTTTTCTTATTTTGTCTCCCCCTCTCTTCTCCTCGCTTATATCCTCTCCCTCCTCCACTTATCCACTTAGCCTTTTCTCCTCTTATTTTCCTCTCCCTTCTTCTCCTTTACCCACTATGTCTTCTCTCCTTCCCTTAATGCACCCTTTTCCTCTCCTCACCCTTCTACTTTCATTTCCTGTTCTCTCCTTTCCTTATCTTCTTCATGTCTTCACTCCTCACTTTTTCTAATTTCTTCTTCTTTCCTCTAACTCTTTGTCCTCCCCTTGTCTGTCTCCTTTTTCCTCTTTTGAAGTGCACCTTTCTACACCTCTGCTGTCTTTTCTTTGTCTCCACCTCCCAGTTTATTCTTGTCCCCTTTGCTTCTCCTCCGTCTTGTCCTTTCTCCTTTCTTCCACCTGTCTCCTGTCATCTTCTTTCTGTAAGTTTTCTGGGTATTCTCCTAATTTCATCATTTCTCCTCTCCTCCTCACCCCCTTTTCTTCCTCCGTTTCTTTTCCACTCTCATCTCTTTTATAATTTCTTCTATCCTCTTCTCTCCTTGCCTCCACATATACTTTCTCTCCTCTTCTCCCTGTCTCATTTTCTTCTCATCATGTGCTCTCTCCTTCACTGTTCTCATTTATTTTTCTCCTCTTTTTCACATCTCCTCTACCTCTCTTTTTCTTCTTCTATCCTGTATTTTATCCTCTCCTCACATCCACCTTTCTCCTCTCTCCTTATCAGCTATTTTCTTATTATTCTCCTTTTCTTTTTCCTCCTCCCCTCCTCTCTCATTTATTCTCTTTTTCCTCCTCTCCTCTTCTCTGTTTCTTCCTCTCCTCATCTCGTTTTCCCCTCCTTCACCATTCTCATTTCTTCTTCTCTTCTCTTTTCCTGTTTCTTTTCTCCTGCCCTACTGTACACCTCCTCTCCTCTCTTCTCCTCTGCTCTCCATGGGGCAGTAGCTCTGTAATGTTGTTAGGACATGCTCTCATTAATAACCTACACTCTGAGAGTCTTTGCTAGTGAAGCGTGAATCTCTCGTTCGTTTGGGGACGAATAGAGGGTGTTTCACTGTGTGTGTGTGTGTGTGTGTGTGTGTTTGTGATTTTGTGTGTGTGCAAAAAGAGAGAGAGGACAGAATGAGAGAAAACACAATGGGTGGGTGTGATGTACAAAAAGCATGTGTTTCTTCACATTGTTTAATGGTGCTGGATCAGCTTGCGGTCTGCTGGTCCAATGTTTTATGTGTGTGTACTGTAGGCGGGCGTGTGGATCGGTGCCAGACGTCCTTGAGTCTGACCCTGTTAGGGAACCTTGCCTTTGGGCATCCCGTGGCCCAGTGCTCATTACTGCTGTAGGCACACTCATAGACCTGCATGTACACCTATTCACACACAAACTCACACCACACAGACCACAAAGCGATCGTATCGCGTGCCAACACCCACCTCCTGTTAGAACAGGTAGATTGCAGGTCCAGTCCTCAAAGTGTATATGCGTGTGTGTGTGTGTGTGTGTGTGTGTGTGTGTGTGTGTGTGTGTGTGTGCGCGCGTGAGTGTGTGTGTTTGTGTGTGTATGAGTTATCTATGTCCATTATCTTATAAGGTCTCGCTAAAAGAGTAATTTGTGAGCAGCCCTTTCTGCACCTCATTAGGAAAAGGGTTATTTTAAGTGTCATGGTTAAACGTGAAAGTTAAGGTAATGGCTGCAGTTGGGCAATTAGCGGTGACAGGGGAAGTTAAGGGAAAGTTAGAGAGTGAGCATAAGTCAACACAAATATAACAAGGTTGTGTGTAAGTGTGTTTGTGTGCACTACATGTGCGTGTGTGTGTTAGATTTATGCTCTGTGTGCCACCTCTATCTGTTCCTTTGCTCCGTAACGAGCCGACAGGTGTACGAGCCAGCAGGCTGGACACTGACTGATGCAGTGCTAATACTCCCCCCCCCCCCACACACACACAGGGGTAATGTATTGTACAATAAGTGTTGCCTAACCTCAGCAGTACACTCAGCTTTGGCAGAGAGACAGAAACAGAGAGGAGGAGGAGGAGGAGGCGTTGGATGAGAGAGGGTGATTAAATAGTCTAGTTAGTCCACAGAGTGTTTGAGAACATTAAGAGCTGGGCCATTCATCAGTATAACACACACACACACACACACACTACATATACACGCACCCACTCATATTGATTGCACAAGTTAAAAATGTCTCTGCTTGGTGAGCCAGTCAATTCTCACAGGAAAACAACAGACAAACACACACAGATTCCCAAAAATTCCCATATGCACAGCCCCACTAATACCACCTTCTCTTTTTCTCAAACTGATTCATTTACCATCACTTACCCGTCCTGTCATAAGTGTGAGCGTTGGCTCATTAAAACTCTTGAAACTCCCTCCCACACCTCCCCA